ATGCAGTAATTTAAAGCTATAGTGATCAATAGTATCGTCATCTGTTGGAATGCTTGATGTACAAATTTCATTGTCAAGCTTAATATAATCGTTAAGAGTAGCATTGAAAGTTATTTTATTTACGTTAAACCACGCTGCCAGCGACTGACATTAGCCGAAAGAAGCAATATTAGAAGGAAAAAATTAAACATTTGGTTTGGAAAAAGGGACACTAACACTAGCAGCAAAATGCATTTATACTTAAAACAAAAATACGACTAATAGAATGCACTTTCCCATATTCCTATCGGCACGAAACAAAATTTTTATTCTAGTTATGGAGAAATTCGATTTATAGAAGTTTGAGTTATGGAAGTAGAATTGTATGTAATTTGCTCTCTAAAACCTTGGTGCATTGTTTTTGGTTCGAGTTATAGAAAATTCGGGCTATAGAATTTCGAGTTATTCTTTAAATAAGTTTTTGAATTTAAAAAAATCTGTTCGTTACTTAGGTTGATACCATATACAAATATGTATACGCCAAAATGGCTCTTAGATAATTCGATAATTAACATTAATTTTTTTTTTGTATGGATATGAAAAGCAATATGAGCTTTTTATTTTATGATTGCAGTAAATTTAGAAGGACGGTGCTTCTTTAGAAAATCGAATTAAATTTCAAATTTTTGCCAATAACCACAAAAATATTGGATGGATGAATCAGATGAACTAAATATTCCCATGTCTCATCTTGTGCTTTAAAAATAGAACTCTCGTACATACATTGGAAAGAAGTATAGTGACAACATAATTCTCTATAGAAATTTATATTAAAGCTAAAATTAGTTTAGGTATTTATGGATTAACATAGATTAATATCTATGGCTCATATTACATTTTTATAGTAAAATTTTTTTCGTACATTCTGAAGCTTTATTACAAGCGAATTTTTTTTTTTTGAATTTCTTAAGGTTTAATTGGTTTAAAAAATTTAATCTTTATGTGACGCATAGACATAAAAACTACATTACATAACTTCATTATTGGAACATTTATCGCAAAACTCTATTTTGATATGTTAGCTCCTTTCTTATATAAAAATTATATTTCTGAGGAGGTATCATATTCTTTGAGACATATATTAATAGTTTTAATTTATATGAAAATTATCAACATTCATAGTTGATCATTTATATGGTATGGGTATTTATAGAGATATTTCTTTTCAAATTGTGTGTGATATGAATTATTTTTCTTTTTCACTTTTAATTAAAAAATATTTATATTGTTCAGATTTATAAAATAACTTCCAATAATTAATTTAGAGAACAAAATTTTACCAAAGCCTTTCTTATTGTATTAGCCGTAATTTTTTTTTTCAAAGCAAGAAAAAAATAACATTAACTCTGGTGGAAAGAAATTGGCAGCACTTTTAAAATGTGTTGAATGCTTTTGTTTAACATAATTTTTTTGCTGTGTTGTGTAGAATATATGATACAAATGACTTGAATTTTGAAACATATTTTCAGTGAACATTCACAATAGACTGATTTTTGAATTTGGCCGCATTCAAACTTTAGTCTTATATTTTTTGCTAGTAAAATCTAACTCTGAGAATTTTAAGAGCATTGTTGTTGCTTCACATGTTTTCTTTCGTAAGTTGCGAGTATTATTTTGCTAGTCTGACAGAAAAAATTATGGCTAGTATATTATATTCTGAGTCATACTAATGATTCTATGCGATATTGCTAATAGTTTTAATTTAAATTTCAATCAAAATTCTTAAAAATATATTTAAAAAAAATTAAAATATTTTTAGTTGCGCAAAATGCGAAAATTATTAATAACTATAATGACAGGAAAACATGTTCATTTCCTTTGTAATTTTGTTTAAATATATAAAAAGTAATTAATTTGACATTTAAATTAAGTTTTAAAACTGTAGTTAAAGAGTTGATAAGTGCATTATGAAATAAAATGCAAAATACTTGATTAAATTACCTTTTTTCTTTTTGACTTGCAGTTTAATAGACACAGAGGAACATAAAAAATACTGCACCAATAAAAATTTATTGCATTTCATTGTAGATAGTTCATGCAATGAATACATTTTGAAGTTAATCCAAATAATTATGAGTTTTGTTTATAAACAATTAAACTCATAAATTTTGTTTAATAATGATTATATGAAAATATATTAATAATTGTTTGCTATTTCAGAATCATGATGATAAAATAATATTTCACCTATTCTCTCAATAATACTTTTGCTCTGAAATTCAATGGATATGATATAAAAATTAATAAAGTTTAATGAAAGCAAACAAAATTAATTATTTGTTTGAAATATATACATATATATTCACATATAATATGAAATAGTTTTTTATTACTGTATTTGGTAATTAATTACATTGTTCTTAAACGCAAATAAATGTATTTCACTTGTAAACACGAATAATTACAAGCCATTCAATGCAGAAAACGCCTTTATTCGACGTAAATTATTGTAAACGCAGTCACACGTATGAACGAGGCAGCAGCCATTCACGCTGGTACATATGCGGACTGCTTCCAGGAGGAAACATATTTGAGCATTACTCGGAATGGATCACGTATACACGTAATTTCATTATAATAGTTTAGATTTTAATACATGTTGCGAAACACCACAATGGTTTAACTTCATGTAGAGGTTGCGAAATATATGAAAATCTTCCTAAAGAAAAGATGCTTTTGTTAGTGCAAAAAGTTAGTAAAGTCGGAAAAATTATCTATTTAACTATGTATGTTGATGAAAATCCCATCGAAGACATACAAAGAACGCTAACCACCCTCTAACTTATACGTTTGAATAAAAATTGAATATTATTCGTATTCATCCAATTTGTTCATTATTAATCAACATATATATACGTGTGACCGTACATTGGAAAACTAACCTTAACTGTCACAGCAGTATATCACAGTGCCACATTCTTTAATTTCCCCCTTGGATGTGTCCCTGTATACTCATAGATATAAGTATATACTTGTATTTTAAGTCAAGTTTTATAAAAGAATTGAATATCATAAATATAAATATTATTAGTATATACAGACATACCACAAAGAAACCAAAACAAAATATTTGTTAGGATGTGCAGTGAGGGTCCGAAGTATAAACTAGTTGTTACCACTATTTGTTACTTTAAATCACAGAACACTTCATAATGCCTAATACTGTATAATACCAACTGGAAATCTGTTCAAAATCTGTAAACAAACCGGAAGTTATGCAGAAAATTGTATGAATAATCAAGTTCTGATCGTCCGATATGGTCAGATATGTTATGTTTCAAGAAAATCACCCCTTCAATGATTAAGTCCTGATCAACAAATTATAACCAGTTCTCGCCACGATTATTTTCAAAATAAAATCAGGCCAGTACAAACCGGGTCTGACTCTGATTACAAATTTTGTTTAGATAAGAAAAGAGAGGTTTCGAAAAGTAGTGAACTATAAAAATTTTTTTTTAGGTATATTATTTTAATGAATTGAATTTTTGGCTGACCATACAGCTGTTTCGAATATCACCAAATACCCATCATCAGTGGTCTTGGAATTGTTTTTTGTATATAATTTTTCATAAATAATTTTGTTTTTATTTTTTGAGACTGCTAGATAAGAATGTAATGTAATAAAGCGTGCTGCTTCAGATTAAATAATATAGTTCAGATCTGAATTTGAATTTTTCAACCACAATATTTCTTCCAAAAAAGAATAACTTAGCGTAATAATCTTATTTACAGATTATTATGTATGTTCCCGTTTGCTGAACGTAATAAACGTTTAAAATTTAATATTCATATCAAGTAAAGAAAAAAACTGTTATTGTACATAAATTTAGTACTCAAATTCAAACCTTATCATGTACTGAGCTATACTTTTTATACCTATTAAATATATTGGATATTGCAGGTTCCAAAAAACAGCACGAAATTTTGTGATAAGTCTTAAATGAAGATACTATATCAGATGTTGATCTGATATATATACCTTAAATAAGTCAACTTAAATAATATATAAGGTATGTAATATATATCTTAAATAAAGATATCGTATATATTCCGTATCAATAGTAAAAAAATACTTTGTAATACGTCGCTGATAAGATAAAATTATTGCGTATGTTTGTGATCAATAAATGGGAGAGTATTTTGTACTATGTGTCTAATAGCAATAGAGACTATATCTATATCTTTACAATATCTTATATTGCCCATTTCAGATAAGATACTACTATGCGACTGTATTTTTGGAATAAACTTTTGTTTTGTTGAGTACCATACTAAGATAAAAGTATTATTTTGGATTGTACCTATCCAAAAGAGGCGAAGGTGTTGAATTTTTCGATCTTCATACTCGTATAAGTCACAGCAATTTATTCGAGTAAGATACTAGGTATAGCAATATGTACCCACGCATAGTATTTATGTACTTTGTAATTAAGTACTATACAACACTGGTTATAGTGAACGGTACTGCTGCATTTTATTACGGATGTCTTCGTCCAGATATGCATCAAGTACTAAAAAGACCATTGTATAACGAGTTACAGTAATGTATCCCAATGCGGTTTGTACAAATTTTCGATTGCCCTAGATTTTTCTTCTAAAAATAAAATATCGCAAAAATATTTTTGTTGAAGAAACATTTATATTAACATTTAATTTGGGTACTGTTGTAATAAAACTTGGTATATATTTTTATTTGATATTTGTGATCTATTGAATGTAAAGAAATCTATCAAGTATTCAATTAGACTGGAGCAACAAAAATTAACTAACTGTAGTACTTAGTTTGTCAAACGAGTTTATAATTAAAAATATAATTAACATAATAGATTTTTGCGGTTTCTCTATTACAAAACATATTCAAAGATGTAATCAAAAATTATCAAAGCCACGGTAAAACTACAACGCTCTCACTTCTCGGTTGACGAACACTTTCTACATAAAGTAATGAATGTTGTCCACTCAAAGTGTCAAAGTAAATTTAACTATGCAAACTGTTTTAAAAATATTTTAAATCCTGTCAATGACATTTGGTTCTGATTATGTGATATAACGCGTCGCAGTAATGCTTCTGAATCCTTGTGCATGGAGTACATGTTTGCAATTGTTAACATTCATATTATGGCACTGCGGTTTAGTAAAGTGGTTGCAGTGATGCTGCGAGCTGTGGCAGTTGATGTCATGTAACACCCGAAGAGCACTCACGCGTTGTTTCACATTTCTATTTCAGGTAAATCTGTTCTCCTGGAGCTGCCGCCATTGCTGTAGTGCTCATTATATTCATATTGTTAATGATAAAACTCTGGATGGAGAAACTCTGGATGTATTCATAAGTTTTAATTAATTTTCTTTATGTGAGAAACTAACTTTTTCACATTTTGAATACCCTTTATGTTACTGTAAAATTATGTAAATCTTAAGTTTATTAAGATATTTGAGAATGAGTAAATTAGATTGAGGAGAATTTATAAGATGTATGAGCTCTACCAGAAGATTCTATCTAACTCTATATACCGATTAGTGTTAGTGTTAAAGTTCATCAACACTAACACTAGCAAAAATAGTTATTGAGAATTTATACAATTAAGGCATGTAGTTATAGCTACCAACGAAATATCTAACAACAATGGAAAGAATACAGAATCACATCTCTAGATAGATACCAAAGTACTCGATCCTAACATAAAGCAGTGCAGTTATGATGACTGTTTTTTTACGAATTATATGGCATAGTGACCTCTTATAAAAATAACTTAGAAATATTTTTAAATAGTATTGAATACCAACAGTACCGCTTAAGATTTATGAGAACGAAGCACGAACCAGCAGAAGAAGAGGGCGACCAAGAAAATGATGGAAAGACAGCAGGACTTGGAAGAAATGAACATAAGAAATTGGAAAACAAAAGCAAAAAACAGAGAAGAATGGAAGACTGTTGTTAAACAGGCTTAGGTCCTACATAGACTTAATAGTCACGGATGATGGTGATGATTGAATACCAACAAAAAAAAATTTATTTTTATTTGATAAAACCTTCTAGCTGCCGTTTTTGTTTCGAGTACTGTTAAGTACTCATGATCAGTGGTCTTTTGAAATATTTGTTTGTTTATAAGTATAATTGCTTGACTACAAATACCAAACTTAGAGTTTTGAACCTATCGAATGCAATAAACAATAACTTTGTATGTGTTAACTTTTTTGATTACTCAGAAGACAAAAACTAGAACACTTCTAATAGTTTTTTCAACTGGAACAAGCCTTTAAGACACAGCTTAAGAAAATTGGATTCAACTTTTATAAATTTTAGATTGTTAAGTTAATGAGATTAATTTAATATTGATTTGTACGTAAAATAAAAGAAAATGCCGCAAAGACCGCTAATTAGGTTAGTTTTCTCTTAAAAAAATTGAATTATAGTTTTGGAGCTACGATTTTGCTATTAAGGCACAATAATTCTCAAAGGATGCATTGACGTGGTGGCATAACACTTTCCTAACACCTACAAAATCTATGGATAATTGAGTTATCAAGCCTTGAAGTTGAAGTTTATACACATATATATATGTGTTGCCATTGAAAAGTGTGACTACTTAAATTTTCATGTCATTTAAGGTTGTTAACGGGTTTCATTACAGGTCATTATGGTCTGAAATATTACCTTCATAAACTACAATTATCTGCTAATCTGGAATGCAGATTTTGTCTCGAAGATGAGGAAACTACCATGCATATTCTTCGTGACTGTCCAGCTCTCATAACACACAGAAGAAACCTGTTTCATATAAAATTTCTATCACCAGAACAGATTAAGAACTCTTTTCTACATTTAGTTCTGAACTTTGTTCACAAAGCTGTAAGGGGCTATGTGTAATCAATAGTGAAATTGATACAATAGGACTCTTCTGGCCGCAGTACCAGCTATTCGGCGATTTCACGTCTAAACTTTTAATAATAAATAATCTAAAAAACCAAATGCTGATTTGTCTTATTATTCGTCATAAATGGTCAAAAATTTGCCCCATAATAAATCCAACGCGACGCTTATGCCTTTTGAAGTACATATAGTACAAAAACAAACAGAAATTATTTGAAAAATTATACCAACAACCATTGTTTTACTCGGTAGTTAACGAACTGATTAATGTGTAAGTAAGAAAAATGATTGAAGAACTTTTGTTATCTTCTCAAACGTTTCATAAAATTTATAGAGCATTAAATTTTTCATTTAAAATATTTCAAATACTCTTTGCTTGATGGTTTTAATAATTAAGCAACTCTAAATGAACTTTGTAACTAACTTAAAAACACTGGTGACTGGCTTTATGCGTTGCAACAAGGAAAGCAGAAATTTAGTAACCAAGCTTAGCTTTTGTACTGATTTTATGATTTTACATTGACAAAATTAAGAACCAAAGCAAACATCGACAACCCAATTAAAAGATAACAAACGTAAATTATTCTCAGCTATCAACTATACATACAGCACAGTACCCAACAGCATCAACCATCTGTCATTCCTCATCCGCCTCTTTGAGGTCCTTTTGCTTTTCCATTTCAATTTTAAATGTTTTGTTTTATATGTTTTATTTTATATGAAATCATGGCACGCACAATTCTAATACCGAACAAGTCACGTTCCACTGCACTACTTCAGCTTGAAGGCACTATGGTGAGCCCTTCTTCCAGTTCGTTTGTGAAAGTTGAAACCAAAAGTTGACATGTAGAACTTCAACAACTTTTATATTATCAACTTGTAAGCAAAAATGTTTTAAGTAATAAATTTTATATTTCAGTTGTATGTTCTCGGTTTCTGTTTTGGTTTTAGAGATTTTATGCATGAAAAATAAAATATAACTTTTTGGCTAAATAAAATTATTTAATTTGTACCATATTAGGAGTACTAGAAACTTATGAGAAGAGTAATGTTTCCACTCAAGTCACATTCATTTTGAACATTTATTTTCATTGCTTTCAAATATTTCGGCAGCTATAAATGCACAATAAATTGAATCGAGTCAATATTTACAGACTTCTAGTGCTAACTTCAATTGCAATAAACTGATTTTTATATAAAGTATTTCATCATCTTTATGAAGGAATATAAACTAAAATTATAAGTAGAATTACAAGTAGTAAAATTAATTGCAGATATTCCGTGGTCACAAGCAGTAGTTTGCGGTCTTAAAATCAATTATTTGATTTCGATTGGTAAATCTGGATTCAATCTAGATTTATTTTTGATTTTTCAAATTTTATTGTCCAATCAAACATTTTTACGGTAATCTAACATTCTTTTAGTCGTTCTAGTAGACATTTACATTTTTCACAAACACATATATTCAATCAAATCGCAGTTTATCTATCAAATCATATAAAACAGCTATTAGTTTCAGTATAATCTTGCTACTTTAGCAAAATATCTAGACTGTTATACATTAATCTGCAGTGTTAAACATTCGTCTCTAGTATGATACAGATTTACCAGTCGAAAATGAAAGTTGTACTAAAAGTGAATTTCGATAAAAAAAGTTACCTCAGACTTACCAACCGAAAACGCCATAAATATACTATATAACTATTAAACAATATTTATTTGTACTATGTATACTAAAATCAAGTATAATTTAATATATCTGGTGTAGTTAAAATACTTTTTATATAGAAAATTGATGTGCGATGTTTTATTTAAGAGGAAATTTTATGGAATCTTTTTCGCAGTTTACTAACTGTTTTATAAAGAGGTTTTTAGAACAGTACTGAACTACAACAACAAAAATTTATTTTATATTATTTTAATTAATTGAATTTTTGGCTGACCATACAGATGTTTCGAGTATTGCCAAATACCAAATACTAACTATTTTATCCAACTGTAATAGATAGAAAGTTATACCAAATAGAAGGATGCAATATTCTGAATGTATTAATTAACATTCAGAATATTTTAATTGATTACTAAAAGAAATAAGGAATTATTGTATTTATTGAACTATATTATTTATTACAAATAATTATTCTGGCATTGGGTATATATAACCGTTAACAGAAAGAATAATTAAAAATTTTTTTATAGTTGACTTATAAAATAATAATTTTTTATATGGTATTCCAAAGAATAATAAATACTTAACAAGTTGATAATGTATATATCAGGTATCTTATACATTTAATTAAAAACATTAAACATTCTATATATGGAATCTACTTCAAACACATAAATGTTAACGGTTTTCTAACAGCTTGAAATTCTACTATTTTAGTACAGTAAAAAATAAAATTGCAATCTACACGAACCTAACCATATGAATAGAATAATATATTATTTAATGTATTATTTATTTGCCCGGCTTTTTCAGCTAGGCATATCAAAAAATTATTATATACTCAACATTACTCCACCCCACGGAAATCTTTAGTAAAAGGCGAAAGATTTATTCGACAATCGAGGAAGAGTTAGAGTCAATTATTTCAAAATATTTGGGTACTTGTTGTTGAAATGGTTATGAAAAGTGATTAAGAATTATTTCAATTACCTATGTTAAAAATTTTTATAGGCCATATAATTATAATTCTTATAAAGTAAAATTTATATTTGTATGACATCTCAGGACAAATTTGCTAAACTTGGAAAGATTATATAGAAGAGTTAGGGGCTTGCTCCTATACTGACAAGGGCAGTCGACCTAGCATAACGTACGGCTAGGGTTGGCCCAATACTTAATATATTCATATTATTTTAAATGGTTTCTTATAGTTATCAGAGGATTATTGTATTTAATAAACTGAAGTGGTAATGGAAAATAATTGTATTTAATTATTATTGTATTTAATGAACTGAAGTGGTAATGGAAAATAATAGTAACGGTATTGTTTGTTTCAAAGTTAACTTAAAAATAAAATTTAAATGTTCACAAAAAAGCTCCCCCAAATCAAATTAGTCGAGAAGCAATTTTTTATAGTTTATGTATGTCCAGTACTGATGCATTAATGTCAGTTTGGTAATATAAAAAATATGCTTGAAGAACGGTAAATATCTGTTATACCCCTCAGGAGTGGTTAAGGATGTTGCATTTAAAACTATTTATTTGTTTTTTCATAGTTTACTTAAGAGATATTTTTAATTGAAAACTACAAATGCTCAGAATAAAGTATATTTTAATAACAAATCAAATAAAATTGTTATTAAGATATTTTTTTTTATTGCTTGTATATAAATACATAAGTAGCAATTTTCAAATCGAATTACTTTACATTTTAATTCGATGCCATGTTAGCGACATTTCGCCGTTTTAGTCGTTTTGGTTGACCATACGAGGATATATGAGTTTTTAAGATATAAATTAGTCAAATGAAGATATACGATTCCATTTAACTTTAGAATATAATTTTTTACGTATATTAAAAATGAATATCACATATATAATGAATATATGATGAAAAATAACAGCAATTAATTGACAAAACTCAAAGTTTAATTAATATAACTCGAGTACAGTAAAGGCTAAGCTGTCTAAAATATAACTTTATGTTTTAAAATGCGCTGATTTCTTGTACGACTAAAATCACTAAAATATTTTTAAGGACCTCTGCTTATTTGTATATGGCAATTGAATGCAATTAATTAATTATCAAATTTATTGTTGCAATTAATTATATTTACCATTTTCAATTTATTTAAGGTTCAACAACTATAAGCTATTAATTAGATCTTTCAATAATAAAATTAGAAATAATAATTATATTAACTGTACATGGCTTCAACTTTAAAGAATAATTGTATTACTGGAATTCAACAAGAAATTCTATTAAGAAAGAATATAATATCCTACTTAAGCATCTGCGATACTTCTAAAAGTATCTATATAAAGTAACTATTCAACGCATCGTATAAAAAAAAAATGATTCAAGAATTTAATTACTTTTAAGTTGCGATTTCATAACCTTAAATTGCTTAGTCATTAATTAAGAAAAAGGTTTTGATGAAATTATTTGATTTATTTATTTGTATATACTCAACAATTTATTGTACATGAAGAACACTAATTGCTTCTCTAACAATATTAAAGTTAAATTATAGTCCAATTAAATTAAATTTTTTTTAATAATATTTAAATTTCAATCGTACGTAATTAGTGAAGTCAAGAATGATTCATCGTAAAAACATTATGGCATTGCGTTTATTTGTATGATAAAAAACAGCATACATATTCGCTGGAATGTACGAAGTTATTCTGCAGTTGGTTACTATAAGCATTCCAATTGCTTGAATAAATTCAAAAACTAAATAAAAATACTAAAATCAATAAATACTAAATGAGAAAATAAAACCAAGCATATCCACCCACTGACCTTTACTCCTTTTTGTGAACATTTAAATTCATGTTTTTTATTTCTCAAAAATGGAATAAACTCCTTTGACGCAATAGTTTTCTGTTCATTTTATTTACTGAATTGAAAAAATATATCTTTAAAATTTTTTACGTATATTTAAATTGATATCTCATTGAAATTTAATCATAAATTTTTTAATATGAGTAACTACTCTTAAATTTAAATCTTTTATAATTTTTTTCTATGAAATACTTGCACTTGTTTGTAATTTGAGAAAAAAATAAATATTTTAACCTAGCAGTTTATTTATTGTCCTCTAATCTAATAGTCATAAGAAGACCCTTATGATTTTCATTCTGTTTATTCTGTTTAATTTTTACAGACTACATTTGTCAGTTATAAAGTCAAATGATCTGACATAAGTACCACTAAACTGTGTTATGTCATTCAATATGACAAATGGTCGATCGCTCACTCCTTTAAACTTTAACTAAACTATTTTATTCTTCTTATACTTTAAAGTGTTGTATTCTATTACTGTTACTGCTGCGACTTTTTCTCATAACACTTAATTTTTCCTAGCTTGCAATTTCTTAATAAAAACTTTTGTTGGAAGTATTTCAGATGATGCTTAACATTTTTATTATTGTTTAACCCAAATGCATTCACAAGTTTCTGTTCAATATTTTCAGTAAACACTGCAATTCTCTTGAAGTTTTTAATTTATCCGTTTTTTTAAAGTTAATAACTTTGGATTTAAAACCATGCATTCAATGATTGAACTAATAAAACTTAGATTTAAACAAAAATCTCTAGTATGGATTATCTAGAGATAATCGTCTAGTATAGAAGACTCTTTACGATATCGAAGTGTGAAGTTTAAATGAGTGAAGTCAAGTCATAATGAATCGTATGAGTGACTTTGATGATAAAGAGCGGTGATTATAAAAATAATTGTTTATCAATTTTTTGTTACATATTAATTATTTAGATTTAATTAAATTTAATTCAATTTTTTGTAATACAATAAAATAACATTCAAAAGACTAATATTGCTTTTACATACGTGAGCTTATTTTTAATTCTAATTTTATGCAGAAAGTCTTCATCCCTCATGTTAGAAAAATTTTAATTTTATTCTTTACTTAAAAAATATTGCAAAATAAAGTATTTCAGTTTATTTACTTTTTAAAACTACTTAACCAAATTTTTTCTTTATTTAAATCATAAGCTTGCCTATCTCATAGAAGGTACGTTTGAGACACATAATCAGAATCTATGTTATATAAACATAAAATAACTGAAGATATTCGAATTTGAAGACTTCGAAACACGGAGAAGATGACCAAAGCAAAAATAGATCGACTGAGTCATGTACTACGGTATTACGCATATACAACAATGGAAAGACTAGTGGAATTTTATGTAGTAGATCTAGTTCCTTAATAGACAGTCAAACCATGAAAGAAGAAGAAACTGTTATTCAGATTTAAAAATTATTTCTCTACTACATAATTAATTATATTTATGTATAATATAAATTATAAATTAAGTAACTGTGAAATGTTATGAAAAAATTTACAAATAAACTTAAGTACTCTCTCTCTCTCTCTCCCTCTTCTTTCGAAAATTTAACAACCTGCTCAACTTATAGAGTAAAGGCAATTGTTCCAGAAACGAAGTAAATTTCAGTTTAATTTCATCAATTTTGTTTTGCAAAAATTGCTGCAATTAAAACAGCTTTATCAAAACTAATGCTAAATCTACTAAAAATGTCTAAGAAGTTCTGATGTATCTCTCATCAGTCAGATACGACTCATCTTAGTACAATAAATCTAATGTTTTTAGCTAAAAGCATTCATAACTGGTTTTATCAAGGAAGACAATCGTCTCACATCAACTTCTCTACAAATTCTTTTTATTGAATTCATTGAATTTAAAATTGACCTATGATTGACCTATGGCATCCGATTCTGGTGATTAGAGCTATCAACTATTGACTTCAGAGAGACAAGTTTTGCTATGACAGTACTATTTTTAAAAGTATTTGAGTGCCCTCGATAGTCATTTATATTTTTTTCCCCACTAATTCCTTTGCAAACCACTGTCTAGACCTGCAACTCCATCTAGGTACTCAAATTAAGTAGTGGTCAGCACGTGAGTAGGAGTTTTTTAAAGCAATGTTTTTTTAATAACACTCTTTCTTTTTAAAGTATATTAAATTCAGAAGTTAATATCATGAAACATAAATGGGACAATAAGGGCATAAAATGGATGGAGTATGTTTATTTTCCATAATAGCATATTTTTAAAGGAAGTGTTATCCGGCAAAAATATTTCAATATTAAATTCTAGTGATTTTTCTAGTGATTTTGTCGATTCTAGCTATTCTAGTGATTTTGTCAATGACAATAGTCTCAAAAAAATGTTGTATGTCTTAAAATTATGACATTATGTTGTGATTGTATTCTGCACAGAAACTGTTTTTATTCACCTTGCAATGATGTGTTTGTAAGGATATACAGTTTCCACTTTACTGAAATTTTACAACAACTGGCGTATTCTATAGACTTCCTAACAATAAGGAATAAAATAATAAATTAAATAATTATTAATAATAATAAATTAGTGCGACTATATTGTTCAATTGTTTTTACTTATTTATTTGTATTAAACGTTTTTTTTTCTTATCAGTCTCTTATCGCCTACTATTTTTCTTATCAAGAAATTCAAAATGTCATAATTGAGTCAAAATGGGAAGTCAGTGACAGTTGTAAGAATAGCACTGTTAATGTATTGTAAGACACTGCACTCGTAAAACCAAATAATTACAATTGTAATCCTTTTTCTAACTGAATCAAATTAATTTTTTATTTTCAGGGAATTTGAAAAACTTCGAGAAGGAGATACTAGAGAATTCTAGGATAACATAGGTGAGTTACATTTACAGTTTTTTATTTTTGATTGATACTATGATATATTATTATAAGATATTATATATTAGATATATATTATGCTATGTTATAGCATAAGATAGTACGCATAGATTAAGAGAGATTTCAATGTGAATAATACTACTTATTTTCAAATACTTTACAATACTTCAATTCAGTGATTATATTTACTCGTTAAGTGTATACAAATATGTACTCTTGATATTTCAACAATATATTGCATAGTATATGATTTTGAACAGGTTTCTTTACTAATATAATATATAAAACCAGTATGGACCTATGGCATTCAACTATGGGGAACAGCCTCAATATCCAACATAGAAATTCTTCAAAAATCTCAGTCTAAAACTTTACGAGAAATGGTAAACGTTCCATGATATGTAACTAACACTCAAACCCATCGGGACCTTAGGATAATCCCGGTAAGAGACGAAGTAAAAAGGTAGATCGAAAATACCATGAACGAATACAAATTCATCCCAACACCCTTGCTTCGAATTTAATGTCCCCCTTAAAAATTTTTACGAGACTGAAAAGGAAAACGCCGGTTCAGATATTATAATAAAAATCTTAATTTACAAAGAAAAGAGTAGCTCTCCATAAGGAAAACAACCTTAATTGAAAATTATCATGACAAATAATGTTTATTAAAAAAATGTCACCAAGTTATGTGACAGAGTACATATTGGACGTGAATTAAATAAAAAAAAAAAGAAAAGTATAATATATACATTTTGCATTTTGTAATAAGTTAAGATACTTATTAAATGCTACAAGGAAAGAAGGCACTTAGGATTTCCACGATTTATTGTACATTTTCTTTTTAATGATATAAAACTAATAAGATTGAGATTAGGAACCATAGGATATTTTATCTTGGATTCACTCTTAGTAGAATATTTAACTTTGTACTGACAGATTTTGCAGACGATGCATATAGTCAGCAGAAAACAATGTATTAAAAAACGGAATAATATACTCTTTACACGATAAAAATAAAGAAAGCTGCGCACACAGATACTTTTTTAGCAGATATATTTGGGCTACACATTATTTGAACAAAATCTATACAATAAAAATGTAAATTAAGACTTCCAAACTTACAAAGTTAGAACCATATTCGCAATAGATTGGTGACCGCATGTTCTAAAGTTTTATTAATCTATTACTCTCATTATAAAGTACCAATATGCAAATTAACATTAAATCATTCTCAATCTTTATTGTCGGCCCAAAAAGTTTTTAAGGTAAAAGGTTTTTTAATTGCTTGAAAATACATTGTGTGAAGGCTTGACATGATGTTGGCCAGGGTTTATTTTAGTAATTTATTCATTTGAATTCATTTTTTTGGAGTATCATAAAAATTAAATAATGTAATTTTACCAAAATATGTCAAGGGAAAATTGATATATTAAGGGAGACCGCACATATATTCACCGTTGGCCATACTTTGGAAAACCCAGATATAGAATAAGGGATATTATTATCTTGAAAGCTTGTTTTAACTCTTAAAATATAATCTATAATTAATTTTTAAGTTTCTAGGATTTATAAATAAAAGAGAACTAGTTAAAATCATAAAAATAAATTAAAAGACAAAATTATTATTTAAAGTAAATAATTGTGTAATCAAAGAAATTGTTAGAAGTTATAATTTCCTTCTTAAAAAAATAGAGTAGTTTCCAAAAGTAGTGAACTACAAAAATAATTTTTTTTGGTTTTTTTTTATATATTTTTAATCTACCAGTAGGTACCCCCTCTTGTTAAATAATAAAACGTTTAATATTTTTGACGATACGTCGTCCTCTTTGTTCTATCGTCTATATTGTATAATATAGTACAATACAGCCAGATTAAAAATATATAAAAACATTTTAATAAACAGGTCGAAAAATAAATTTGATAAATTTTTTTTTTTATATTATTTTAATTATTTGATTTTTTGGCTGACTATACAGCTATTTTGAGTATTACCAAATATTCATCATCAGTGCTCTTGAAATTATTTCTTATATTTTATACTTTATACCTACTTCTTAAAAAAAAAACTACAAACTATTTACATAGATTTTTACACATATTGTGAACATCAAAGTCATATATAACCAAGCCTGAAGCATAAATTTGTAGTTTTACACCATTTGCTTGAATTGTAAGAATTATGGTATGCCCGAATATCCCGCCGCAGCAAAACCATTAGTTTAAGATCATTCCTCATGTGACCATTTCACTTAAGCTGCCTCCCATTTTTTATATTTATTTCTACTACGTATTAAGTACTTCCGAATACCGAATACCAAGTTAAGGCATTGTTAGTTTCTGCTTGCAGGACCTCGAGACAAGTCAAGAGCGTCATTGTTGTTAATGCCGCTTTAACATTTTCCAAATGTTAAAAGTGCTTTGCACTACACAAGAAGCAATACATTTTATATGGAAATACAACATAAATAAATGCCAAAGTGTGACTGTATATATATGTGCGAGTTGTACACATGCTAAATTATAGCTCCATTGCCGGAAGTGTCCTTAATGAAGGGAGTTTCCCCAAAATTCCTTATGTAATCTGCTGCTGAAGCATATGTGCATGAACTCTACCAGTATAAATTGTCTGAAAAACTAGTCTGCAAGAGATTGTTTACATACACTTAAATATATGAAAAATATGCGCACTTCGTTCCCTTCGCTCGAGCATGGAGCAAGTTAAGTTTCCTTGATTTATGCCAAGCGTTGGCAACTGCAGTTTTAGTGTTTATTTTCTCATAATTTATTATTTTTTGAGCTTTCATTTTCGCTTTATATATTTTCATATATCTCCTAGTTTCTTTTAACTTTCTGCAGCGACTTTTCTATGATCGAACTGAATTATTTAACCATTGAACCACATATTTTCCGTTAAATTATATAGATAGGTAGTATATAATCATTTTATAAACGGGCAGAATAACATGTTGAATAAATTGGAATTATCGTTTAAACTTTTTTATTTTGTTAACATATTAATATATGAGTAAATTAACATAGTTCAATATTTTACATAAGTATAACAAAATATACAATTTATGTAAATTAAAATTGCCTGAAAAATTACTATTAAAAACTAAGTGAAAAAATCTTCTCCATATGTTCGGCGCGCTTTAAGCACTTATTTATACAGAGCTTAATTACAATATGTAAATATTAATTACACATAATTAAGTAGCTTATTTGGGCTTAAAACAAAAATGCAGACACATTTTTCAGTCCGAGAGAACTGAACTCAGAGACTCCTTAACCGAAAATGCTATCTTAACTAAGACTACTCCAAAACAGGATTAGTGATAGCAAAGACCTGCAGAGTTTATAAAATATAAAGAAACACATCCCTACGATTTGTTTTCTCATGTCATGCTATTGCGGGTATAAAACCCTGTATTTTACCTGAGTCAAAGAAGTGAATGCTTTAACTAAATCATATTGCGAATGTTACTTTTAATCCGAATCTACCTACAAATGTCAGAGTAGATGGTACTCTTCAAGCATTGTATAATGATAGCAGTAAAAGGGCAAACACTTCAAAAACTTTTTTGTCATAATCGGTATTTTACTTACGATTTGAACCCAACCCATAGATTAATTGCGTATTAAGAAAAACGAATTTGACCTATTGTTTTATTGATAGCGTCAACCAGTGACGTATTTGCATGGTTCAAGAAAATATACACTATTTCAGCGAACAAAATAAAAAGTTAGTTTTAGTTTTGGAATAAAGATTGTATTTAAATAAAGATTTTATAAATAGCATTAGTAACAATATAACATTCTATCTGCACACATTTATATACATATGGGTTATTCTTTTGTAAATCGGACGGATTTTGGCAAAATATGACCTTATCACCTCCGATTTGCCTGAAATTTTTTTTATGAACTCTTTTCATACAATAAGAAGACCCATATCTCCGGAATAAATTTTGAAATTTTACTCCTAGGATATATGCACCCATGGGATTTTGGAAATTGGCAATGTTTACACATTTTTTAATGGTCATATATCAGGCTCTATATATAATAGAGACTTTAAATTTATTATGTTTTAACGATAATTTTAGAAAACTGTTAAAACAATTAAGAAATTGTTTTTGAAATATCATATTAAATAAAATATATTACATTATTTTTTATCTACTATTTATTTATGTACAAACAAACTAAAAATTATTCTTTCTATTATATTTATGTCTATATATTACAATATTCAATATCTGTATAATTATTTATTATAAATAATTTAAAGCTCATTAAATATATAATAATAATAATTTCTTATTTATATTGGTAACCATATAAAATATTCTGAATGTATTAATTATTGGACCAACACTGACTGTACTGCAATGCCAGGTCAACCCGTGACAGAGATGGAGCAAGCTCCTAAACTCTCCGTCTATTTCCAAAAATCAGTTTAACATTTGTTGTCCACCAATGGTGGATCTATCAGATGTTAAGCTGATAAGAACAGATACTACACTTTGATCTTAGCCATAAGGCCGAGAAGCGATAACATTTAATTATTTTTGTTTAGATGTTATACAAATATAAATTTCACTTAATAAGAATTATAATTAAATAGTCAATGAAAAATATTTTACATACATAAATAGATATATAATTCTCAATCATTTTTCATAATCATTTTAATGATACTTACTCAATTATATTGAAATAATTGACTCTAACTCTTCCTCGATTGTCGAATAAATCTTTCGCCTTTTACTAAAGATTTCCGTGGGGTAGAGTAATGTTGAGTATATAATAATTTTTTGTTATGCCTAGCTGAAAAAGCCGGGCAAATAAATAATTCATTCACACATCAATCAAATAAGTTCTTTATGTAGTTGTTTTTTGGAAATATAATTTTAAAATAATTTATAAATTTATTTTTTAGTCATCTATAAATTACTTAAGTTATTTTTCTTTTAATGTCTATATGTACCCAGTACCCGCATAATTATTTTCAACAAAGTATATAGTTCATAAAACACAACTATTGTCTTATATATGTTGGCAATCGTTTAAAGTATTCTGACTATTATTATTTATTTATGTATTTTTTAAATATCTTTTACACACATAGTTATACTGCAATGCCTGGTCAACCCATGACAGGGATAGAGCAAGCTCTTAATTTTCACATCTGTTTCTATAAATCAGTTTAATATATTTTGTCCCCCAAGTAAGGTTCTTCTACATACAATGAATTCTAACAACGAAGTTTGATTGCTTTATTGCTTTGATTGTTAACTCTTCTGTTGATGATTCAGCCGTCTCTAGTACTGCCAAGTACTGGTCGTAAATGTATTTTAGAATTTGATTGAATATATCAAGACTTTATATAGTGCCCTTTAAAGTTTAAAACAAGGAGCCACAACATGTGTCTTAAATATAATTCTACGTTTCAAATTTTATAACAGAAATCAATTCATTTTATGGGTCTACAGGTATATTGTCTTCTATACTTTTTTGTCTATTATGATATAAATATTATATACTTTTTTATTATATTATTAGCTGTGTTTCAGCAAACATGATCCGCTCAATTTTACATGCAAAACAAAAACAATGGGGTGAACCAGCAATTGATCTGGTTCACTTTCTGGTTCAATGTGGAATGTGTGTAAAAGATAAAAGTGGAACGTATTTTAATGCAAATGAGGTTGGCAATGCGATGCAACGGTGCAGTAAAATTATAAACAAATCTACATTTATATTTATTTATTATTGATTTTATTTATTTATTATTTATTTTATGTACTTATTTATTTAATATGTCGTTATTATTTATTTCTTTGTTTAAAATAATGTTTTAACTATTACTATAATTAAAATTGTTACCTTATTTATTTACGTTTTATTATTATTGAAAAAGTGTTGTTTGATAATTTATTAAAATCAATTAATTTGAAATGAAATGAAATTAAGTTGAATACATTTATTTAATTAAAACAGAACAATACATAAGGATCCAGGCTCTCCAACATAAACGTTTATAAAAAAACCATTTTCATCGCAAACTATCTGCAAGATTAAGCTATAGTCATGCTTTCTTTTGAAATAAGCCTATTTGCTATGGTGTGGTGCATTTATTTTTACATGTGTACTGTCTATGCAACCAATTACGAACGGGATTTTTTTTGAAGTTTCCACTTTTGCATTATTAACAAGTGCGTATTTAATAAATTAGTGTCCAATTGATATAAGCTAAACACTAGTTCTTTCAATTATCCTCCATACAGAAGCTCTTGGTATGCCAAAACAAATACCAAATTCGCAAAAAGTATTCATATTTGCCATATACCACAAAAATATGTAAATTTCCTTCATTGCTCTAGTTCAATTGTGACCTCCACGGTTATTTTGTATTTGCTAATTGGATTTTATTAACAAATCTATTAAAATATGAATCATAATTAATATATAGCAATTGTATTTTTTATGCGCAAATATCAATCAAATAATCTTTAACGGAACAATTATTGATCGTTTCCATAAAATTTCCACTATATGCATGCTGATGCACTTCATCCCTTGACCTTAATACACTTGGACTAGTGTTTAAAAAGAAAATGGAGGAGTCAGTTTTGCTCGATAATTCTAATAAAATCTGCAATTTCCATTTATTTACTATAGAATTAAATTTAAGTTTTTAAGTAAATACTAAATAAAAACTTACATTTCATACTTCAGACATTTCAACAGATTTTATTTATTTTCCAAGTTTTAGATTTTTTGTATTCAAAATTTTCTCACTTATTTTTTTAGCGCCAAAATTATTCACATAAATCAAAAAATTTTGTACACAAACCCAACTGGCATATTTCATGCGTTGCCAATTATTTTCAAACGTGATCCGTATCGTTTCAGCAAAGATGATTCAGATCATTGAGCGGATCATGTTTGCTGAAACACAGCTATTATTGTGTTTACTGTTGGAATGCAATTTTTTTTTATGCAATTATTTTTTTTTCTTTTTCAGATTATAAACCAATTTCATTATGACTGCCTTAAAAGAAAAATTACACATTTCACTTCTGCTGCTATCTACAGTATGTACAATACTACTCATACATAACGCAAATTCGGAAAACGCTGCTTCCTGTGGGCCAAATTTTCCTAATGTCTGCATTTGTGGTCATCAGTTGTATGAGAGTGCAGTAAAATTTGTTGTGAACTGCTCCAATGCAGGCTTAACAAATACAAGTGTTTTGGAGTATATGCCTGAGGAAGTACAAATACTTATTTTCACTGGGAACAATATACCAGAGTTACCCTGGAATGTATTTGGTTCCATTAACGATTATAAGAATCTCACTATAGTCGATATGAGTAGTAATCATATTAGAGAAATCCGCGGAAAATCCTATCATCATGTACAGAATGTACAACGCCTGATATTAAATCACAATAATTTAAGCATATCTCGTAACGACGACGTTGTAAACCACCATCATCCTCGAGTCTTTTCGAATTTTTTAAACTTACAGAGCTTGCATCTGACTGATGCATTTGACGATAACAGTTCACCGCAACTGAGTGAGGATCTACATGACATCTTTGTGAATAGTCAGTTGGTAAACTTGCAGAAATTGCATTTGGAACAGAATGAAATAACTCACTTCAAGGATCGAAAAGTATTCTGTGATCTGCCTAGCCTGCGCGATCTTCATCTTGGTGATAATCTTCTTAAGGAAATTAATTTTGAAGTACGTTGTCTTAAGAATCTACGCTTTCTCGATTTGGAGAGAAATAAATTTGAATTCGTAAAGACGCATGATATGATGTTTCTAAATGAATTAGAGAATAGAGTAGATCGAACAACAAATTTAATAATTGATTTCAATTTGAATCCTTTTGTGTGCGACTGCAAACTAAGTTCATTTCATACTTGGGTGCTATCAACGAATATAACTGTGCGCAAAAAAGAATCGCTTGAGTGCTATAACAAGAACTACTCTAATCCGATACGGATTATGGAAATGGATATGAGGGATTGTGCTGCAGCAATCGCTGCAGCAACTATGATGTTTAATACCGCCGCTGAAGCGCGTTATGGCAAAGCCAAAGAAGAGTTGCCACATTTCAATAGTCATACGGTAACTCTAATATTCTTGCTCATTGTGTTAAGCATGATATTGTTGGGTTTAGTTATAGCCTTGGTGTACATAAGTCGAGATAAAATTAAATACATGATTACACCGGTTTTTGACAATGTTGCCAAAAAGGTACAATACACATCCATCAAAGACGAAGACTGTCCTGAAGTGCATGTTTAAAATGCCTTTCGCTTATAATACATATAAAATGAGGATGCTAATATGAAAGGACCAGCCATACGTAAAAGGAAAAATTGATTGTAATAAAGTTTTATTTGTAAAATATAAATTCCAATTAGTTTCGCTGCGAAGAAAATGTTGTATAAATTGCAAAATTACTAGTGAAACGATATTTTCAATCACTTAAAAGAAATTGTGCCATTCAGCGAAAGTGTAAACTTTTAGAAAAAAAAATATGTTTCTCTTCTGATTTTAAAGAACAAGATTTTATTTTAAATATATAACATATCAGTTATACACAATATTAGTTATACTTTAAGTACATGAAATATACGAGAATTTATATAAATATGTATGTATAAAGGGTAAAGACACAAATATAGAACACAAAACAGACATTATATTTATATTAATTGCATTTATCACAATATAATTATAATAAATGTTTTGGAAAAGTATCATAATATATTTTTATTAATTATAAAAATACTTGTACGTCAATTTTAATTATGATATTATTAATTAGGTTCACACAATTTGTAATAACGTCATGAAAAAGGGGAATCACTTAGAGTTGTTTTAGTTATTTATTAGAAATGATTAATTAATTGGATTAATTATTTTTATTTTCTCTAACATTTATATGGACAAGATCATTATTATAGTACGGGTATCGTGTATTGTTATATATGAATGCAGCTAATTTAATTAAATTTATCGAATATAATTTATATTCAAAATTTTTGACTTTAAAGCAATGTATTAAAATGTAATCTCTTCAAAAGTGTCTCATAGTGAAAAGAAATTTTCAAAACATACACAATTCTTCTCTTCCTATTTTCATATTTGCTTACTTAATCTCATCCACTATAAACAGGTGTCCCTCCCTGTGTACAACGAGGGACCTGTTAAACGGATGCTCTCATAAACGGTGATCTGACATGACTATAGAATGTGGCTATTCTATAGAAAGTTCCCAGTTTTCATTTTTCGTACAAAATACGTTGTTTCCATTCAAAAACAGGTCTTCTTAAACTGACAAAAGCACTGTTCCCGTCTGTATTAAGAGAGTTTTTACTGTATTGCCTTCCAAAATAAATGAATTCCTTTTATCTCTTTCCTTTATACACACGAATTCCTTTATACACACGAAGTGCAAAATTGGCAAGAGATTTACAATGGAATGAGAAAAATATTTGAGATCCATTTTCATTTTCTGTGGCAAATCTATAACGTGTTATATGTAATTGTATCCAACCAAAAAACCTATTCTGTGTTCTCTCCAAAATTAGTTGATTATAATCCATAATCCATAGTTTTTGTTATACCACATTAGGAATCCATCACATTTAAACAAAAAGCAGTCGAAACTTTTTTTTTATTTATTTCATCATACAGTACTTAGTTAAAATTTAGTATATAAATCATTTGGGTTATAATAGCCTCCCTTTCCAAATTTCATTCAGTCATCTCAAGATTTGGAGTTTCATTCAAACATTTCAACAAAATAAAATTTATTTGAATTAAATTTTCGAAGGCAGTATTAGTCAAGCAAATAGTTTTTGAAGAAGTGTTATCTGACTATTAACCTATAATATTGATAAAAATTTAGAAAAAGAAGAAAGAACTAAATACAATAAAACAAACATTTTTTTAAATTACGAATACTAAATTTTTAATGAAAAAAATTTAATAGTTTCACAAAGCTAAGTAAAATCATTTTTTTGGACCCAAAAGTTTCATACATATTTATTTTATATATAATATATGGTTTGGTTACTAAGAAATCAAAGAAATATCAAAGGAAGAACTTTTTTATACAATATTTTTTTGTATTTTTCAACTTTATCTACATCAAATCATGAGTCCATAAAGAACAAAACAAAAATACAAAGCACAATACAAGGCAGACAAAATTATAATACATTCTTCAACAGGCACTTACTCAATTTCTTCAAAATATATATGTATATAACAAAGACTTCATGTCAATTTCATTTAACATATCCCACTACTAAATTCAGATATTTGTTTTTGTAGGAGTAACTCCCTCATTTGATCATTTCATCTATAAATTGAATTGGTCTATTTAAACTCACAAAATAAATCCTAATTCACAGAGTCACTCCATTAATTCAAAAACAAAGAGACTAGTTTCGCTATGTCCAGATAGACAAGGGCGACACTCAGAGACAGACGTCTAGCTATGTATCAATTTTATTTAATTTATCAATCGTCGCCCTGAATAAAAATATAATATAAGTAAACTAGGTATGTTCTTAATCGAGCTTTTAACAGTTCAACACACCTAATATTTCATGTTTTCAGAATTATGCGAATGAATATATTATATTGTAAATAATAATAAATAAATTCCCCTTTTCATTTACCATTTACATATACATATGTGTGAACGTTATTAATAGTTTATATAGTTATTTAAGGTGGAGACCAAAGTAAAATAAATTATTAAAAATAGTTATTTTTTGGAAAACTAGACTCAGAAATATTTATTTCAATGATATATGGATATTTGACCAAATATCATTATTTGATGCTCAGACTTGCATCTGAAATGAGAGTATGTTTAAATTATTTTTAAAAAAAATTATTATAAAATCTTGAAAGTTTTATTTAAAACTTCGTGGTTTTTTTTAAAACTCCGTATTCAAAAGTTTTAATTGATGCCCCCAACGAACAGTCGTATTTAAAAACGGTGATGACAAAAATATTGATGAAAATGTTGGTCCACCAAAATCTTTAATTTGAGATTCCATTACAAAACTAACGCAATAACTCAGACTCTATTCTTTTAAACATCGTATAATTTTGGCAGTGCATTAATAAATTATCTACCGACCCAATGCATTTAAGTTCAAATGTATGACCTCACTACAAATTTCTTTTTGAGACAAGAAAAATAAATAATTCTATGCATACTCTATTTTATTAATGCATGTTATGTCAAGAGATGGCCTCTGTAGAAATACCTATTTTTAAAAGTCTTATTTACTTTGGTCCGTACCTTGTAAAATGAACTTCTTCGCAATTTTTATTCACATATCAAACTGAGTATATTCTTAATTTATTTGTATATGAAATTTAATTGAAAAAACAAAATCATATCAACATTTTGAATAAATTAGTAACTGTTAAGATCTGTGATTTAAGTTATTGTAGCATTTAAAAAAAAAACAAAAATGAACAGAAAATCTTTATTTATGATAAAAAAAAACTATGGAAATTATTCAGTTCAGAAAAAAATTTATTCAAAATTCAAAATAAATACAAATATGATCAAAAACTTATTTATGTTTAATAAATATTTTATTTTAATAAATTTTTTATTTTAAATAAATTTAATAATTATATTTCGCAATAATTTAAAATTTAATTTGTAAGAACTTAATAAAAAAATGTTATATTTAGTAACTAATTTTAATCAATTCTTCTTAAATTATAGAAGAAAGCCTCAAATATTTTAAAACTGTTAATGATTGTAATTATATTAACAAACTTTTTACAATAAAAATTAAAAAGTAAATTGTTACATTTATTATTTTTATTGTATTATGCTATAAGTACTAAAGAATTGAAATAAATATTATAGGTACTTATATACAATTTCTGTTTTTAGACCTCTTATAAAAAGAAACGGATGAACATGGAAAAGCGACGATACGAATATATTATGTGAGATAATGCATTCAGTTCGATAATATTGCTAATCGATCAGTAAATATGTTTGTCTCTTGAAAATTATAAACACCATATTTTAAAAATAAACCTAATTAATGACACCAAAGATAAAACATAAGCTCCAAATAGCAGCATGGAAGTATCTTGACTTCGCATTAGTAAACGTATTTTACTATATCTTTTTATTGCTACGAATCAGATCTTATATCAATACGTTAAACATTTACAATTAAAATTATAATTTCATAAAAAAGTCTATCGAAAAATTTATACTTAATTTAACAATATAAGTAATACTAAGACATCTTATTAAAGTCTCTTGTAGTATCTTAAAGTATCTCAGTTACTGTTAAGCCGGTAATTTCTTAAAATATTCGGTTTACCGGGACCTAATACCGTTTAAGGTCAAGATGAATACCGCTTGAAACAATTTGCCTAACTGCTGAATTCAGAAGGCTTATCGACCCTGTAATATTGAAAACTTGCTGAAAGAAAACTATATCAGCATTTCAAATATTATAATCTAATACTGCATTTACACTTACACTTATTAAACCTTGTTAGAAGATTTTTGTATAGATTTCATTCGAATCTCAGAATGGTTGCAAGCTCCTCGGGGACGTGAGGTCAGTTATTGCTTAGTCTGATGAAGTGATGAACAATAATCCAATCAAGGCGTATAGAGGGGTTATGATGAAACCTCGCTGTTAACAAAGAGTAAAACTGCTCAAATGCACTGACTCAACTAGCCTCAACATGATATCGAACTTATTAAACGTATTTTTACGAACCTATTAAAGCATTAACTTCAAATATGCAAATATATGTCTTGGCCCAATTTAACATCCGATTTTCATTCAGATCTTAAATCTAAAGTTCCATGTTCATTGTTCGAGCTTTACAAAACTTGATAGTATATATTTTTTCTTTTAGGGCCATGTTATGTAGAGTATCTCGAGCAAGGCATAAGTAAAATTGTTGTTGTTTTCAATGCATATTATAAAAAACAATAGGTCGAATCAAATTCCGTCATGTGAGCCGACATATTTGTGCCTCGATACTAAGGCAAAGCAGTGTTCTTAAGTAATAAATTTCAGAATTTGCCTTTTAGCAGCAAATTACTCTAGTTTCAACACGTTTTCGAGAAAAAAAATGAAAGTAAGCAACACAGCCTATTTTTTAAATCGCTACTTTCCGATTTTAAGAAATTGCGTATAATTTGGTAAGTACTGTTCACAATTAATATAAGAAAATATAATAATATACTAACATTATTACAGCCTGTATGAGTTTTTTCTTGCTAGTTACTAGTCAATGCTTTTTCGGCATAGCCCGAAAGAATCCTTTTTACCGTGCCCGAGACGCTCTACATAACATGGCCCTTACTCTTGACGAATATTTATTCACATATATATAACTCTTATTACGACTTAAGATTACTTTAAACACTAATTCAACTTTTTTGTTTCTTGAGCCAAGGAATTACCATTCGCATTTTAAGCACTTTAAACCAAATATCCTAAACCTAACATAAGTAGATACGAATGGTTGAAATTGTACGGAGTGGCTATTATGAAAAAAATTAAGTTTTTTTTCGTATAAAATAACATAGATTTAATATTTTTGATTAATTGCTATGAAAAATTAATTTTTGTCGTGAAAAAATTAAAAAATTAGTTTGTTAAAAAATCGTATTTTTCTTTCTAATAAATTATTCTTTGACAGGTTATGTACAAATAAGCATTCACTAAACATACTCTTTGAAAGTAATGTAAAAACCAGCTGATTACTCATTTATTTTTTGTCGGAAAATTCAAATTACTTGCTGTTTTTTTTTTAACCGAATTGTTTGTGTGTGCGTAAGTAAACAATCTGTTTTGTTTAATAATTAATTATAATCCTGTGTATATAAATGTGAAATATACAAAAAAAAAACTCATGTAAATTGCATTCATTATAAAATATATATGTGCCTGCGCTTTAATTATTAAATAAATATATTAGCTTCGCCATCAACAGGTTTTGCCAAGTCACAAAAATGCAAATTAATAATTTTGTAAACATTTAAAAATTTTGAATATTGTTAAAATTAGTACGTCTTTATATCTTAAATCGGTATAATTCAAAAAATGATCAAAAATCTTAATGAAAAAATGTTAAACATATTGACAACGTTGCACTATTTTCAATCTCGTCTTACCTCTCGTTCTTCTGTCATAAATTTATTTAAATAATTCTATATTATTTAGGTTATGCAATTTATTGTTGCGCATTTTGGTCACGCAGAAATTGTAGAAATTAACTATTGCATTTAAAATTTTGTGATATATTTTAATTAGTTTAAGCGTTAATATATAACTTATTGTATGCAAGAATAATAATAAATTTAAATTAAATGATTTAGTTATTTCTTACCATAGATGTATTCTAAAAGCAATCGCAGCCTACTGAATTTGATACTGAGCGCAGCAAAACAACAATCTATAAGACAACAATCCAATTGCATGGCTGGAATGGAGAAATTTGGTTTACCAAAACGTTTACAGGGCAGTACACCTAGTGTCTGGTTTGTACAATATATAATATATATTATACATTAATTTGCAAAATATAATAATTATATCAATACAGGAATGAGTATATTGCATTGGCAATGCAGTACAAGCCATTAAATTTGGGACAAGGCTTTCCAGATGAAGCACCGCCAAGCTATGTAATGGACGCTTTAGCAGATATTGCCAAAAGTGAAAATCCAATGATGCAACAATATACGCGTGGATATGTGAGTTAAATAAAAACAGTTCATAAATACCAAAATCTATATGAATTAGGATAAGATTAAACGCAGATTACAAATAAAACTATTAGACCCTATCGATTAAGATAAGATTAAATAAAACCAAATTAGAAAACGTACTAAATGTACTTTAGAATATTTCCATGAATATGATATGCACTTAATTATTGTTATAGTTTAGACTAGTTGAGTCAGTGCACTTGTGTGAGCACTTTTTCTCTCCATTAACTGCGAGGTTTTTTCATAACCCATCTCTACGCCTTGACTGGATTATTGTTTATCACTTCATCAGACTAAGCAATAATTGTCCTCAGATATGCATACCTCCCCGAAGAGTCTGTAACCATTCTGAGTGGTGTTGGTAAGCCTCTCAGTTTTCCGAAATAGTTTTAGTGCATTTAATGTTTAAATTTTAAATTTTTAGAAATAATCTATTTTGAGATTTTTGACGATTACAAATTTCATGATTAAGATATCTACTGAGAAATTAACATTTTACTTCTAAAACTAAAATTAGGTAGCTAAATGCATTAATTCTTAAGTATGCTTAGAACATAGTATTTTTATTAATAATTATATAATTTTAAAGTACGTCGCCATTATCGAAACTAAGTATAATATATTATTATTTAAATACTGTAAACAAACAAAAATTTTTAAGTGATTATAACTGTTGTATTGTCACAAGTATTTAAATACTTATGTCGAGATAAACGTTACAGGCTCAGAGTCGCAAATGTATTGATTTTACACCATTTGAAAAACTTGTCGCATGGTATTTCGTATCATTCAATAGAATTATTGACACTTGAGGCAACACAATAATAAATTTTTGGCTTTAGGACAAAAAAATTTAAAAAAAAAATATTTCTTATTGTATACTGAAGAGCCTTAATTCCATCATTTATAAATAACTTCTACGACAAGACAATAATAACAATAACAATTCTTTTCTAAGTTTTTAAATTTGAGGACTTTTAGTGATAAGTGAGTGGGAGAGTACCCATGGTTTTTAGTATATTTATTATTTATTATAATTTATATCGATGATGGTATTTCACTGGTCGGAAATACTACGAGTTATATATACATACATATAAACAAATCAACATTAAAATTGAACAATTTCAATTTGTCCAAATCCAAATATACTTTAAAACGGGGTATTTTCAAATCCTCATCCCTCTTTACTAATTATCTGAGCATTGGCTCCATATTTTTTTTTATGGGAAATGAAACAAAAATGTGTTACAGGACAACATAATCCAAAACCATACTGTTCGGTAATACTCGACTTATCACGACAATCACACAAAATATAAATTACGAATCGAACTGGCTTTTTCTTTTCCGGGGAAATACAGCTCGGGCACAGAGAGAACACAGCACATTTCTGAACTCTTTCCGAGACAATAAAAGAATAAACTAAAAAACTAGACAGTCCCATAAAAAACGAGACTTCTGGTCACCTAATGTACATATGTATATATTTTTGATAATTAACTTTTTGCATTTTAATCCATTATATAAATTTCAATAATAATAATAATATATCTCTTTTATAAACTTATTCATTTTAGGGGCATTTGCGTCTAGTACAAAATCTTGGCAAGCTTTATTCAAAACTAGTTGGTCGAGAAATTAATCCCCTGAGTGAAATTATTATAACATCTGGTGCCTACGAAGCGTTATATTCATCAATTATGGGTCACGTGGACGTTGGTGATGAAGTCATTATAATAGAACCTTTCTTCGACTGTTATGAACCAATGGTAAAAATGGCTGGTGGAATACCACGTTTTATACCCTTGAAACCATGTAAAACGGAAGGTTCAATAAGTTCTGCTGATTGGGTGTTAGACGATACTGAATTAGAGAAGATTTTCAATGAAAAGACGAAAATGATCATTTTAAATACACCCCATAATCCCATTGGAAAAGTTTTTAATAAGCAAGAGTTGCAAAAAATTGCAGATTTATGTCATAAATGGAATGTACTTTGTATTTCGGATGAAGTCTATGAATGGTTGGTTTTTGACAATATTGAACACATACGTATCTGTACATTGCCTGGCATGTGGGAGCGTACAATTACAATTGGTTCCGCTGGCAAGACATTTTCTGTAACTGGTTGGAAGATAGGCTGGGCATATGGTCCAGCTAATTTAATAACAAACTTACAAATGATACATCAAAATTCGGTTTATACATGTCCTACACCAATACAAGAAGCGGTAGCATGTTCTTTTGAGGTAGAACTTGGACGACTTGATTCACCGGATTGCTATTTTCGTAGTTTACCAAAAGAATTAAAGGTAAAACGCGATTTTATGGCAAAATTCTTACAGGATGCTGGTATGAAGCCTACAGTACCAGAGGGTGGTTACTTTATGTTAGCTGATTGGACTAATTTAGGTATTTTCCAATCAATAAGTTATATAAAGAAGTTGGTATTTTATTTTTCATTTATTTAGAAAAACAAATCAATATAAATGAGGAAAAAGACAAATATCGAGACTACAAATTTACAAAATGGATGACAAAGAATATGGGATTACAAGGAATTCCTCCCAGTGCATTCTACAGTGAACAAAATAAAAACTTAGGAGAAAATTTCGTGCGGTATTGCTTCATTAAAAAGCAAGAAAATTTGGAGAAAGCAGCTGAATTGCTTAAAAAATTAAATAAATAACTACTTAAGCAAAGAATACCCTAAAATATTCTTTGCACTGAAGTCTGTATATCTTGCAACCAACGGATTTAATTATAATTGTAAATAAATATATATCTTATATTACAAAAAAATATATTGCTGCAATTCATTTAATAAAAGCACGAGATGTTCAAACAAATTATATATAATTTTTTATATATACACCATTTGGAACCAAATTTATTTTGCACTTGGAGCTCGCTCTGCATTTTCTCATACATAACCTCAAAATATTTTATGAACACTGTCAATTACTAAGAATTACATAATTTCATTTATTTGAATTAACTATATTAAAGTTTTCAGAATATGATATCTTAAAGCGTACATTTATTATAGTATGCAGCACATATTTATTCATATATTTTATTTCTCAACTAAGAATGTTAGACGCGATTACATATCAAAAACAGATTTTAGTGCCAGTTCTGGCTTATCATATCCAATCTCTTCGACTGTAGGTATACCTAACTCAGCAAGAGTGGGGCGAATGTTTTCCAAGAGGTATGGGTAAATTTCTTTAGTCTTGTCTCCGCACTTGTCCTTGCATCCTTCCATCCACCTAATCGCCAAAGCAATGTCGTTGACACGACGGCAAGCTTTCAGTGCGGCGATAATAATTTTTGGATCAGGAACAAGATCCATACCAAGCAAATCATTCATGCCTTTGCGAATCTCCCAACCATCAATATCTTCTTTGTTGAAAAACTCTTCATAACGCTTATCAAATTCCTCCTCTGATTCTGTAGAATGAGAAGCACGCACGGAACCAATAGTTGCAGCACGGGCCGAAAGTCCCATGGAACCACGGAGAAAATTGCCAATTTGTCCAGCAGCAGTACGCAACATTTTTCTACGAAATAAATTACATCGTATTAATCATTCACTTTATTCAATAAAATTGGTTAAGTAATCACAAACCTTAACAGCGAGCAATATTAGTTGACTAGAAAAAATGTTTTTGACACTTAACAAATTTCGCTGTTTAACAAATGTCAAAAAAATTCCATGCGACATCTACATCTGAAATTTAAGGAAATCAATTGCTCGTGAATTTGTATCATATGCTATATGCTTAAATAATATTATTAATATGACAAATATTTATTAATAACATAATCAAACCTACTTCGATTCACAAGAATTTCAAGTTTTAAAGTTTTATTACAGCACAGATATATATGGCGTTTTTAATTGGTAAATACAAATTCAATAGAAATTCATGTCATGTTTCCCCAGCTTACTTAGTGAATTGCTTAAGTAACTTCAAGATAATATCGTTACTATTGACATAAGTTACTAATTGCATATGAAAGCGGTTTTTTGTGTCAGAAGTTCTTTGAAAGAAAACTTCTGTTGATTTAGAAAATTTAATTCCATAATATATCAAACAAAAAATTAAATATATAAATATATAATATATGTATTGTTTAAATATATAATATATAAAAACATCGAAACTTAATTCATTGTTTAATATTAACATAAAGGTGTAATTACAAAAACCACAATCACACCATTGACATATTAAATCATTTTATATATATAATTATATATATTTAAAATCTATTACACACTCAATTACTGTTTCATCGAACTGTTTCATTTAGGCTCTTATTCATTTATGTTAATTAAGAAACGTTCATATTATAATAAACTCATTTATACAGCTGATAGAAGTTTTATAAACTTTCATAAACTTCACCTAATAATATATGGCACAAAAAATATTAAATATAGAATTGAAATATTGAATCATATATATACATATATTATGTAAATTACATCTTCAATTAATCAAAACAAAATTTTATTAAATACTGTCGCAGTGCCTTTGTTTAGTACTCAGCTATAGTTAGTTTACATTTTGCATATAAAACATAAGAAACATATTAAATTTTGGTAATTTTCTTGTGAGAAATTTATTTTTAAGGATTGTATTCGACATTTTTCACCTTAAATAATCTGATTTATTGATAATAAATTCCTATTATTGGTTATAATGAGCAAAACCCTCTAAATAAAACTATATGAATGTGCTATAATCTTTCTGCTCCAGCAAAATATCTAGAGTGTAGTAAGTTAATTTCAAGTGTTATACATTTTACCCGAGATTTACCAATCGAAAATTAAAATTACACTAAACGAAACGGGAAAATAAATAAAACGGGAAAATATTTTGAAAGTAACACAAATTTATAAATTTGAATAAGAAAAAAAACTGTAACTGTTATATATTTAAAATTGAGTGAAAAATAATAATTCACATACATGTAATCCACTAAAGCTAATAAAAATACTGTGGCGTTCAGTATGTTATTGTTATAATAGTCAACTTATAAATTTCCCAGTTACAAATGGTGTTTGGATCATGTAATTTTTAACATTCGATTTGTTACCAAAAAACAAATGATTTCCTTAATTTAGGACCGTATGAACACTTTCGAAATTAACTTGATTTTATTTTTACGAAATTAAAAAAATTTGGTTGTCTGTCTTAAAGTCTGTCTGAACTCAAGTTTTGCTTAAAATTTATTTTTCGCATAGTTGCATTTGAAATTTCCTTTAATTTCAACCATCGTTTCAACGAAATAAAGACCATTTTCCTTGATTTCGTTATAATTTTGAAACCGAATTTTATATGGGAAAAACTTAATTTCGCTAAACGAAGACGAAATTAAGATTTTGCGAAATTAAGGTGTGTCTGAACATAGTATTATTTTTCTGAATATTATAATTTTATGACTTTTCTCTTCATTTTATATATAACTTTTTGTCATAAGGTGGCACCACTATATCATATAAACTATTGTAATTTTAGCCTGGCAATTATGTTATAAATTGCACTGGTAATGTCGCAAGAGAGTTCATTTCATTCGTTGTTCGTTTGCTACGGGAAGCTTGTTTCTGGTTGCGGCTCGTTTTACACCTTATAAATAAAATAAACTATTTAACTTTTGTGAATATTGTACTAAAGCAACTAATTAAGTTATTTTAAAATGACTTCTGCATCTGGGTAAGTGTTAAGTTACAACATCAAATCTTATAAATGCAATTGAAACCCGGGCGGTGCATTAAAGCGTGCTTATTATTAGCGTCCATATTTTTGTTTAATTGATAAATTGTAATAATTAATATATATATATGTTTGCTTTTACAAGAAAAAAACACAAATATTGTAAATTCATTGATTGTTTAATTGTAATTTGAGTTCAATGCAACCGTCACATTGTACTATGCGACATTTGCTTCTAGTAAAATCGCTAAATATTGAGGTTATGTTGCAGGTAATTTCTGACTTTTTGGTATTTTTAGCAGCACCGCTTTGTTTTGCGTTTAACTTTATTGCGCCAAATAATAAAATCCTTCATTAATAATTTTGTTTAAAGAAGTGTTAAATTAAAACTATGACTGCTTTAAATATCACACATTTTCTCTTTTAATTAATTGGCCAGCTTGCAACTTATCAAAGGTTAAGTTAATTTTTTTTAATATTAATTTGGTTTATGTGATTTTATGTTAAATATATCGAACTATTCACCTTAAATGCATAATTTGTATTTTTATATGCAAAGCTTTTTATTCTGTCTAAACAGGGACAGGTTGCCGCTCCGTACATATTTTTTATATAAACAATTTATAACAAGCAAATGGAAAATACTACTTTTGCTGTAGCTGGCACTCGACGAACTCACTGTTTCTGAACTATTATGGTTTTAAATTATTCAAATAATGTTATAAACTTATAGTAAAAAGATATTGTTAAATTTTTATGAAACTCGTATATATATTATCGGTACTAACAGAAAGCCATAGCAACTAGTGCTGTTTATTACAAATTATAAAGTTATATGGGCGTTGTGAAGTCATTGTAATATATTCCTTACTAAAAAGTAAGATTACTAATAACTGATGATTTTTTTATAAGCTCAAATGATATATATTAAAAATATAAAAAGAAATGATGTATTTTATTTTACTTATATTTAAAGTACATAATATTTTTAAATTTTGTGTTCAGGCCTTAAAATAACTTTTGTTTAAAAAGTTATTAAACTTTCTAAGCAAAATTAATTAAATTAGTTAAAACTAATTGTTATTTTATTTATATGTAACTATTAATTTTTAGTATATCATTTTTACTATACCATTTGTATATAGAGTCAATTTTCTATAACACCAATTTACTATATCTCGAACTAAAAAGGGTGCAACAGGGTTTTAGAGAGCAAATTACATACAATTTTGCTTCCATAAATCGAATAAAAATATTGTCACATGCCAATAGAAATATGAGAGAACCCTTTTTCCAAACTAAATCTTTAATTTTTCCTTTCTTATGTTGCTTCTTTGTGTAAATGCCAGTCGCTGGCAGCGTGGTTTAAAGTGAATAAAATAACTTCCAATACTACTCCTAACGATTATATTGAGCTTGACAATGAAATTTGTACATCAAACTTTCTAATAGACGACGATATTGATGAGCATTATAACTCTGAATTAGTGGATCCAATTCTAAGCGCAACGGAAAGTGATGATGAGGGCTCTGTGGAAGAAATTCTTCTTCAGCCTTCCAAGAATGACTCATTTAAAATCCGAATTTATATTTGAAAACAAATGATGCTAAAGCTGATAATCACTATAAGAGTCTTTTTAGTCTTTTTACTAAAAATAAGAACAAAAATTAAAATTCAAATCACTAATTTTTGAAAATTTTATTTCTGTCTATTTTATTTCACTATAACTTCTGTAATTCTACTTTTTTTTAAAAATCAAAAAAAAAATAAATTCTCGGGATTTTTGACGATCATGGTTTTAACCCTTGGGTTTTTAATAATACGGTAGAACAATGGGTCTATAGGGCTAAGTCGATCACCTTTGGAGCGCCGGTATAACCTAACATATCACGCAAAGAAGGGACTACATATAATATATTTTTTATATCTACTATAATTTTTAAGTGCACATAATATATGTATAAAAATAATTTTTTATATATCTTTTATGTAGAACAATTCCACCACCAGTTTCCTGGGCTCAGCGTCATGATCTGCTCTACATTGTCATAGAAGTTGAATGCAAGGACATAGAACAAAAGTAAGTAATTTACGCATTATATTGATTGGTATATTATTCGGTGGCATCTATACGTGTCTATTCTTTACAGGGTTACTGAGACCAGTTTTCAATTTAAAGGTGTCAATGTTTTGGATGCTAGTAAGAAGTACGATGTCGTACTTAATTTGTTGCATCCAATAGATCCAGAGCGGGTTACAAGTAAAAATATTGGTAGATGCGTTGAATATACTATTTATAAGGTAAATGATTAAATATAAAAATTATGTTAAAATAAATATTTCCCATGTGAATTCACTTATTGTAAGTGTAAGTTATAGTAAAAACAGTTGCAAAAGAAAATATATTGTAAAATCAGTTTTAGCTATTATTTTAGAATGTGATTTGTTATTGTTTAGTGGCCTTTTTTAAATAAAAATTTACTACATTACATTATTATTTAAAATTTTTTTATGACTAACAATTTCATTTTTCGATTCTCTTATTTTTTTTTTTTTTTGTTTTTTTGTAGAAAAATAGTGGTAGCTATTGGCCAAGTCTTACCACTGATAAAACGAAATTGCACTTCTTGAAAGCCAATTTCGCTAAGTGGAAGAATGAATCAGATGATGAAGATGGTGACGGCCAAGCTCCTGATTCAAACTTTGATTTTCTCCAAGGAGATGATTGGTCAAACAAAATGAATGCATTAAATAATTTTGATATGGACGAAGAAGATTCTGATGACAATATTCCCAGCTTATCTCAGAATGACGAAGACGATGATGAGAAGGAAGAGGGAGCTACTGACAAAAAAGTTTAGTTTAACACATTGTTAAACTGTATTTATATTTTACACATAAACTAAATAATTATTCAAAAATATTTCTTTAAATAAAATCATAAATTTAAACTTAAAGCAACAATTTACAAAATTGTAAACCATTACATACACATGCCTATGCTGTAAACAACAATTATAAAACTAACAATTTTGTTAAATAAAATCGCGTGCGATTTTAGGTTTACTTGAAAACAAAAATTCGTATATATATATATATATATATAAAGAAATGCAATTGTGTAAAGAAATAGATTTTTTTTAATACATTTAAAATATTAAGTTTTTTTTGGCAAAGAATCATTTTAAAATCGTATATATTTATATATGTACAATGTTACTTGAGATAATAAAAACGCTTAACAATATTAGATTCGTAACAACTTAAACCTTAGATTAACCTTATTTAGATTTGTAATACAAGTGGAAACCAAACAATATATCAAAAGAGAAAAAACATTGAATTATACTGTTTTCAATTTCTTATATTTCTAAATTGTGTATCAATCAAAACTGCTTTAGAGTTTTATTTACTTAAATTAAATATTAGAAATCCTTTTATATATTATTTTACGACACGATTTTCTAAAATCATGGGATATATGTATAGGTTTTATGTATACAATTTCTGAAGCACTCAAACGCGTGGGACGGTTTATTTGATCTTCCTCATATTTTAAATATTAAAATCGGAGCCCATATAGACTTAAAAGAACAGCAACTTCTTGTGAAATAATCTTTTTTTCAAGTTCTTTATGTTATTACAAAGGACCAAGTAAAGTGAACCAATTTGGCTGTCCGTCATTAACTATTTGATATCACACTCTTCATATTTTTCGGGTGGGGGATTTCTCAGCCAACTACATATAGTGATAAACGTAAGCACTTGACCGATTTCTAGATTACAGATGTGGAGTAAGTTGTCTATTTCAATAGTGAAAAATAAGATATAACTCTTTCCACAATGTTCAATCAGTACATACTTGAATTGATTTCTTATTATCGATGTACGAACGAAAACTTTTGAGAATATAAAGAAAAGTTGTTAATGACTGAGTTTGTCCTCCTAGGTAAAGACCTAGCGATTAATCTTTCAGCTATTGATTTTTATTTTTCCCTAATTCCCGTAAAATGCTTGTATAATATTTTACTTAAAAAAAAATGACAATGGTAAATGAATCTGTAGTTTAAATTTTCCAAATTGAAAAAAGACAATAGGATGGATCAATTTCTTGAAACTGTCCAAGTCGATCATATGGTAGTTGTTGCTGTTATACGCCGCCGAGATATGAAAGAAGATAACATGTAAGAATTACAAGTGAAATACTTGAGTTGGGATGAGAATGTGCGATGCTTTGGGTAAGAGAGGAGGGGATCATGTAATAATCGCCAGCACCGGTAAAGTTAAGCGCAACTTGTTACAACAGCTAAAAATAAAAAAAAAATTTCCCGATATAAAATTTGTTCAAGTTATGGTTAACAAACTAAGTTGACAATCGATACAAAAAAAAAAAAAACTACTAACAGCCCGATGAAACCATGAAAGTATCGATTTATACTATGCATTAAACTATGGCCTACCATAGTGTGAAATGGATCTGATGTTTATAGTGCCTGGTACTTAGTTTCTAAGTTAATTGCTAATTCTCGTATTATTATTATTAATATTAGGGGATGTGGCACTGTGACCGTCGGGTCTATTGTGTTCCCCTCTGGGTATAGAGTAGGTCTCTAAGTCCTGTTGCGTCAATAAAAAGTAGTATAGAACCTACTCAGTGGCGCCGCTAGGCATCAGCGATGTCGGCGACCGCCGATGGTCTCGCGCCCGCAGGGGCTTCGCAAAAAGTTACCGACTGTGGATTCTAAGCACTTAATAAATATTTCGAACATTTTGGTTTATTAATGGCATTAACCATATTCGAAGTATTCCCGAATGTTCATATAGTAATCAGATCCATGTTCACAGTTCCAGTCAGTATAGCTTCGACGGAAAGAAAGAAACAAAGTTAAAATTGATTAAGACGTACTAGAAAAGTATGATGATCCAAGAGAGACTATCTCCATTAGAAATTCTATAAACTGAAGCAAAAATAGCAGCTGGCGCAAATTATGATATAATTTAAAAAAAAAATTGAGTGAGGCTAAAAGTAGGAAAATTCATTTATTTTAATTTGCGTTTATTTTAATTTGATAAGCAATAAAACTTTCAATCATGCTTTGTCGCATTAGTGAATGTAACTTATTTACTTATACGACTGGGTTATAAAGGGGGCCTCGCAATTCTGATATCGCCGACGTGTAGAGTTGGTCTAGCTCCGCCACTGAAACTACTTTACGGAGTTTTATTGCCTCTTCCGTAAGAATATACATTCCTAGGATCCTATTTCGTATGTGCGTTGGCGCATGGCATTTTAACAGCACATGTGTGGCCGACTCCTCATTCTCTTCACAGAATCTCCAGTTTGCATCCATAAGTAAATCCAGTCTTGTAAGGTGGTGTTTTAGTTTTCAGTGCCCTGTTAGGATTTCTGTGATGGTTCTAAGTTTTTCTTTTGATAGGTTCATACAATCCTGGTATCTCTTATTGTTATAGATACCAATAAGTGATTTGGATTGTTTTAATCCTAGTATATTATCCCAGAAATCCTTTTTATTCTGGTTCTACTTTATTTTTATGAGAGACCGTACTACGTCCTAGTCCACAACAAGGTTAGTTTCCGTATGTAGATCCGAATTTTTCTATAATTATAATATCAAATCATTTGCAACAATTTTTTTAATTTTACAAATAATAATTATATATTCAGGTATTATTAAATTTTAATTGTATTTTTTTTTTCAAGCTATTCCAATGTATCTTTTACAACTGTCTTTAATAAAATTTATTAGATTTTATTTTTAATTATGAAAATATATCTAAAGTTATTATAAGTTTTATTTTATTCAAATAGTTTTTTAAACTTATATATTTTTATAGCAACCATATAAATCTATTTAATTTGAATAATAATTTTTAATTAATGTGTAAGAATATTTTTTACTGTGTATTTTCCATGACAACAGAAAATTTGTCTGTCAAAACAAATACATATAAAAAAATTGTAAACAATTTGGCGCAGTATTTAATTTTCATGTTATATTAAAGTTATTACGATTTTGGATATAAAATGGCAGGTGGTTCAGTTTTTATGGATCAGGTATGTTAAATAGTACTTAAATAAATTTTAAAGGTGTCATCTATCTTATTATAATACATCATGATAAGTATATAATTATTGATAATAATTTTGCAACAACAATGTGTATCTGTGCAATGAGTGTTGTGTCCAGAAAATATTTATTATTAGTTATATTCAGTGAGAACATCTTCAAGTTTATTCCTCAAGTAAATATTGGATGTGAAGACCACACTTAAATGTAAAAAGTTTGCAAATATAATAACAACAAGCAATCAAACCAGATAATAGTCAGGTTTCAGGCTCAAAACATTGCCAGGTTCGCAGAACTACTGTTCCAGGATTGCAGACATATGCTTACAAAGATGAAGTGCTGTTCATCATTGGCGAAACGTCCAAATCTACATAGCTTTTTAGCCGATCAAGTGCAACTTGCCTCTATAGCAACTATAATGACAAGTGCCTGCCTGTCATTATTCCTATTGAAGTTTGTCATAACGGCGGAGCAATACGAAAAATAATAATAAAATAAATTTACATACTCTCAAAGTATCATTTAATAAAATCATTATGTTTCTTATGTTATGTGATTTAAGGTAATTTAATATTTTTCTTTTCTAATTTACAGCCATTACATCGGATGTCTTTTACTGCCGAGTGGTATCAAGAGGAGGCTGCTATAACTAAGACCTATGTTATTTCATTTTTCCCAGCTGACAAATCATTGGAAATTGTAAGTAATTGCATATTTATGTATTTTATTCAGTATATATAATTATTTTTATTACCATTAAAAGATTGATCTACGCACAAAAAAATTATTTTTGCGCCGTTTAAAAATGCCACAATTATCTGAGCGAGATTTCTTCATTGGTTCCAAAGTAAATGTGTTCGGACGTCAATTTGACATTGTTGATTATGGAGATGGTTTAACAAAAAGTGTCCAATACAAACAACGTGAAAAGTATATAAAATAATGCTATACAATTTAAAAAAGAAATGTCATTTTTATGTTAATCATAATTTAAGGGCATTTGTTATCTTGAAAAGTACTGTAATGCATCAATTGGGCAATATCATATGTGCACTTGTTAATTCTCGATTTGTGCTCAATCGTGGACTAATGCTGCAATTTACTGCCGATCAAGTAAGATTATTCTTTGGTAATATAAAAAAGGGTGATTCGCAAACATCGTGAGTATTTTTAACATTTAACCTAATGTTAAATAAATATAAATAATGAGTGATAAATTTACTTAATTTATTCGTTTAATTTAAAGGGTGTTAATGAACCAATTACTAAGTGGTCCATCAATCTGCTTGGAATTAATGTGTGAGAATGGTATGGAAAAACTTAGATACTGTTTGGGGGAAAAAGTCGAAACAAACTTCACACATATGCCTAACAGTCTATATGAAGTAATGAAAGATGATATAATTCGTACTGGTATATATTGTTCACGATCTATTGATGAAGTCGTACGTGTAAGTTGCGAAATGAATTATGTTTTCCTTAAAAAAATACTAGGATTATAAGACCATATAATAAAGTAAAAATAAAAAATTATAATTTGAAATGTAACGACAGCACTACATTATTTGAAAAATATAAAAAGTTTAATATTGATGCAGAAAACATAATGAAATGAAAACATAATTTTACAGCACGGCGAGTTTTTGTTTGGGGAAAAAGCCCGTGGTATTATAACTCCAGCCTGCAAATTGGAAAACTCAACTCTTGCAATCATTAAACCTCACATTCTTAAGACAGGTAATATATAGTTTTTATAATTATTATTGATTTTTAAAATCCCTTTTCAAATATTTTTTATTATACAATAAATGCTAGTTTTAAACTAATTTAAATTGAACTTTATAATGTATTGTAAATGTATTTAAAATCCTTCTCAGAAAAAGTTGGAAAGTAAATATTAAGTTAAGATATTTGTGAAACTGTTAATTAAAAATCGAAAACTCTATAAATTACATACATATAATTATTAATAAATTCATTAGTCATTAGCCCCATAATCAACCAGTCTATTTCAACTCAAATTTGTGGTACAGTTTATGAATGGAATATTGAATGTGAAGTTTTTGTGTACGGAATATTCACAGTATAGTGATAACTTTCCATCGTAATATAATTAGAATACAATATACTTCTTAAAATATATTTTGTTTTATTATAGATTCTAAAAGAACAAATAGCATTACGTCTTTCGAATAAAGCGGTTCTTTCGTTAAGGGGTTCTCAATTGTCAATCTCATACCTGTCACATAAACTGAATAATTAAATATATTTTTCCTTATTATTCGTAAAATTTTTAGTAAAAATTTAATATGTGATGAATGTGCTTAATAATAAAAATGCATCATCATCATCTTATCATCGAACATTTCCACTAATTTGTATTGTGATAAATCCATAATATTGTTCTCTGTAAATAATTTTTTTTCAACATAAATAATAGCACTTACAATTCTCTAAATCATTAGTTTGTTTTTGTATAGATTTTATAAAAAAAACAGCACAATTTTTGCTCAATTTCCAAGTTAATTGTGATAGTGTAAACATACTGATATTGTGATTACCTAGTTACTTTCTAATTAAAAATAATTTTTTTTATTTCAGTACTACGCTGAACTGATCTGATATTATTTAATATTTGTAATATAATATAATACAGTTAAATAGATGTATCATGTTTATGTATAAGCATTATTTGCTAACCAAATGATTAGCACTTCTGATAAAAAAAATTCTTTATAAAGAAACAAATACTTTTAAAACTAATATCCGTTTATTGAATTATTTATTTATTTATTTATATTTTTATTTTAATGCAGGGCAACATGGTGAAATTCTTCAGGAGATTTTGGACAATGGCTTCAACATAACTGGGTTCCGTATTATGTTATTGGAACGCTTATATTGCGAAGAATTCTACGAAGTTTACCGAGGCGTTTCATCCGAATATATTGTAAGACTGTTGTAAATTTTTAAAAATATAATATTAAAAGTAGTATTAATAGTATCAGCATTGGTATTTGTATTAATTGTAGAACTTATATACTCGTATTTTTAATCAGTGGGTAATTCATATTGGTGAACCATATAAAAATATTTCCACAAAAAAACAAATTGACACTTCGCTACTATAAATTTATCAATTTTCATATACTTAAAGACTAACTCAAGGAGTATAATAAAAATTAACTGTATATATAACTTTTTTTTAAATTACTAAAATCGTTTATAAATATATTTTTTATTTATTTATTATATTTAAATTATTTTGTATTGCAGCAAATGGTGCATCAATTATCCAGTGGCAATTGTATGGTTCTAGAACTTGTTTCTGCTAATCCAGAAAAAAATTGTCATCAAGACTTCCGAAGTTTATGTGGACCTGTAGATCCGGTAAGAAAACTAACCAGTGTTTATAATTAGTCCATAGCAGCAAGAACAGTTCTGTCCTAACACAAACCTCCGTCCAATTGACCTTTGGTTAGGTTTTTCCGTCTGACGCCAGGTTATTGTTCAATTAAATCTCGACCGCCTATTTCATTTTATCCGCATTCCCCCTCCATTATCCCCAACTAGTACTCACCCATGTAATCGTCTTGTATATGCTTTCATGTTATCTGCTTTCATATCTCAGCGGGTTACTACTACAACAATAGCAAGAACAGTTATGACCCAACTAAGTTTAGGGTATCATTATTATAATCATCGGCACTATAATCGGTGTTACCTTTTAGTCTCCTTTAATTAATTTCTCTACCGATAACAATTCTGAGCCGTTGGCATCCAATTGGGCACCTCATGGTTTCTATGGAAAGCTCAGTCTATAGAAGTTTACCTAACTATTTTTTTTTTTTGACTTCAAGATATATTGCGTTCAGTTTCTAATTGTAGAGTTACAGGAATCTCCGTTTGTTTCATGTGGTGCCAAAAATTTCGCACAAAATTTTTCTCTCCAAAACACTATAGCCATGTGTTAAATTGTAACTTATAATGAATTAGTCCCTTACATGTACCTAGTCCCTATAGCAGCTCTACTTTTCATAACGTTGTCCATCTGCCGAAATGTACTGTATACACGAATTTATTTGTGGTTCAAGTATATTCTTTTATCTAGACTCATAATCCACATTCTCATCCTCCTTATCATACGTGCCAATCCCACTACCTTTTTGTACTCCAACCCATTAAACTTTTTCTCACTTCTAAGACTAAATATGGCGTACTATGTTTAGTCTTAGAACTAGCAATACCTTAACATTGGTAACTTATTGGCTATAAATATTTATACCGAATTATTTTTTAATTTTCCTATGAAGCGATAGTAATTAATATATTTTATTATACATATTTACAGGAAATTGGAAAAATGCTACGTCCTGATAAGTTGCGCTCAAAATATGGTGTAAACAAAGTTGAAAATGCTGTACACTGCACTGATCTGCCGGAAGACACAATTATTGAAGTACAATATTTTTTCAAAATTCTATTTTAATTAGAATCAATGCCTATATATTAGTTATAAATATTTCTGTGAAATTATAAAATTAAATTCATAATTAAAATTTTTAATACATATTATTATGATTTTGATATCACATTTATTGCACATATTTGGAATAAGCTTAAAATATTATGCTATATAATTTTTATCTTGTAATGTATTGCAAACACTTGAACTTGTACTTGGTAGATCAGCCATATCATCTTTCATATCATTGTCCTTTGTTAAACCATTGGCTATTGTATTTTCTTTTCTAGTCACTAAAGTATTATTTACATGATAGCTCAGTAGTTGTTCTTGCAAAATGTAATCATAAGCCAATAATGTAAATATAATAATCGAAACTAGCATTATCACTGCATAGAAGAAGTACTCGTTGCTCTGTTTATTATAGATATATATAATATTTTACATTAATTGATCAAAATGCAAATGGGTTTACCTGTGAATCAAATATATCAATTTTAGTAATAATGATTACAATCAAATTCCCAAATGCATTATTGAGGAACCAAGCAGCAGTCACAACGGATTTCATAGATGTTGGTGCCTATGTATAAGAAGTTTTATTAGTAAAGATAAATAACTAATACTAATATAATATTATTAAAGTATATTTTTTAACCAAATATTATAGGTGGTGGAAATACTTAATTTGTTCAAGCAACTTAAAAATATAGTATTTGGGGGGTTCAAATTGAATATAAACAAAAATATACTAGAGTTCATGAAAAATCGACCTATTAAGAAAAACCTTCAGTAATAAAAATAACTTCAATATATCAAAAACAACTTGTAGCTTACTAAATAGTTTAAATAATAAACAATTAAATATTCTTTAATTTAAGACCTAATGAGTATTCCAGTTTATAAGGTTTGGAACTTTTATTTAAATTTATTATATTATATAGTTGTATACTCATCTCTTGAAAATTTGTTGGGTTTTTTTTCAAAAAAATCTCATTTTAAATATTTATAACATATGTTTAATTTTTTTTATTAATTTCTATAATCAATTGCACTTGTCAATTAAGACTAAAGCATGATATAGACGATGCTATATGTAATCAAACCATTCGCAATGACAATCAATAAGTCGCAAGGTCAATCGATTCTGTATGCGGCATAGATTTGGGTACATCATGTTTTTCGAATGGATAACTATACGTGGCATGTTTTCGTGTGGTCCAACCATCAAGCTTAGTTGTATTGGCTAAAGATGAACTCACAAAAAATATCGAACGATCTATTGCTCTTCGAAATTAATATTGATTTACTTGATTTTTCATTTTCAAAATTTAGTATAAAACATATATTAATTTTTCAATTTAAATTTAAATTTTACGAGATAAAACAATAAATATGTCCCTTTAATGAAATACATTGCGTTAACAAAACTTTGAAGTTTTTTTTTGTTTTTATCGGCGGTTATCGTCTACAGCGCTTAATTCCTCTTTCTATGATGGAACCCATCCACACACACTTATAATACATTCGTTATCTTTTATTTAAAAAAAAATATTCACTAGAAATAATTTATGTGGCAGAACAAGGTTTGCCGGGTTAACTATATATATATATATATATCTGTCTTAAATAAATTATTATTTATTATTATTTATTTATATTAAATAAGTAAATTCAAATTTTATTTCATATCAATTAAAAAATATATTAATAATATCTTACTTGTGTAAAAGCAAATTGAAGACCTGGTATGGAAAGAAACAATTCGCCCATCATAATCATTAGAAATTGTGGAACTTGCCAGACTATGTTAATACTTTTATATGGCTGACCCTGCTTAAAGACTAATACTTTAAAAACTTTATCTAATAGGAGAAATGCTTACAAATATATTTTCTTGTAGTATTCCAGCACAAAGAAATGATATAGCTGAGCAAATGCCACCAACAGTCACACTGTGTAGAGGTTTCAGCTCAAATCCGAATAAATGTTTGAACAAAGGAGCAAACAGGTATTGCCAAAGTGGTATCAATATAAATAGAAATATGGGACCCATTGCTTTAGCCTGTTAAATAAAATAAATTTCGTGTATTTTAAAATGAAAATTATTAAAAGATATTTTAAATTACTTGATCTGGTTGCAGTGTAATACCAGCAATCGTTGTATTCATCAGTGTAGCCTGAAATGTCCAACTTGAATCCTGCTGAGCGAGCAGTGCAAAATAAATGGGCAAAGGGATAAATAATTTTGATATCTATAATGACATGATTTCATAGATGGTTTAGATTACTGTTAGATTACTATTAGATACTAACTTAATTAAGTTTTAAATAAAATGTTTGCAATACTACAAAAAGATATAAATAATTTAATAGATATAAATTTTTTGTTACATTGTCAAGTTTAAGATAAGACATTGTCAAGTTTAAGATAAGACCTTTAACGGTGACATATTTTGCTAATTGGATTATGGAGAAATACAAGATCACTTTCTACATGTTTCTTCAGATTTCAAGACGGACTAACTTAAATGTCTAGGAAATCGTTACTTTACGGTTTTGGCAGAGATAACAAGACAGATAATTTGATATTCAATAAATTCTTAATTTCATCTAGAAAACCAAGTGGTTTAGTAAGATAGGTCTTATAGATATTATATAAATTATTACTGTAGTTCGCTTTTTGTTAATATCTTTTGAGTAATCACAATGGACATTAGATCTCTTCGAGTGAAAGTGTCTATATTTGTTCCAGTATTTGTCCTTTCAACCAAACTAGCTAAATTATAATATAGTCTCCATAAAATTGGGATCTACGTATACTGTTAATAACTATGTTTGAAAAATCATTTCGAGTTTTTAACAGAGGTTAATAATTTAATCAGAAGAAAGTATAGTAAAGAATTCAAATTGATCAGTAACGTTCTAGATTAATAAGCCGCTAAAATAGGTGCGCAAGGCACACATAGCATAAAAATGACGTATTTTGTTTACTATTAAATAAGTAATATATATATTGCAAATAAATTCTTAATAAATTAATTTAATAAGTTTCTTACTTTTAAAACTTTAGCAACATCATCAACAAAATTCTTGTCATATCGACCAATAGCATTGTTGAGCCAATAACTTGGTCGTGGTTCCTTTTTCGACCTTGTACATTTTTTGATTATCGCATATTTAATACATCCATAAAATTTTATTAAAATATTTTCTTCAGAAAGTTTCTCAGGTTTATAAAAAAATTTACCAATCATGAAAATTGCTTTAAAGTAAATAAATTATTTTGTAGTTTATATATAAACTTGTGATATATGATTAAAATTTAAAAACTCACTCCAAGATAGCATGAATGATGTCGCTAACGTACCGAATACTGCTGGATAGCAACCATTTTTATTAAAGCATTGAGTATTTGCACGCACCAAAGGTGGCAATATTTTACTTAAAAAAATGCCAAAATAATAAACAAAATAATACAGAAAGAAATATTCCGCTAGTTGGCAGGCTTGTTCGGGAACCTTAAATTGTAGCGCTCCCAGACTTGTAATGCAAGCGCGTATTGATCCATTCCCAACAGCAATAAAAAGTAATGATGCCGAAATCAGGAAACTGATAACAGAAATTAAGATATATAAGTAAAAATATATGTGTAGTATGTGTATGGAATATATAATAAAATAGGGTATTCACGATCTCGTATAATAAGCGCAGTAAACAGTACAAGTACAAATAGCTTTTGATTACATATATTTTGTTGTTTTCACTTTACATTGTTACTAAGTTGCCCGATCATTAATAACTCCAAAAATATTCATATAAGTATTTAATTTAAATGGTAATAAATATTACTACTACATAATTTCCATATGCATTTAACGATTATCTATAATAATTGTTGGTTAATCTGACATAGTATTTATAAACAATTTGAGTCCCATTAAAATAAGTCAACTTTAACGATCGTTTATCTGTATGAAATAGTACCTAAAAAAACTCTACATAAAAACTTTTATAATTGATTGTAATCAATAATTATTCTTAATTATTCAGTGTGCCTGGAACTAGTGCACTGGTAAACTAGACTCTGTGCCACCTTGATAAAAGGTCACTAACGAATTGATGTTTCTATCAGTCACAGCCGAGAATTGATTTACCGTCACTTTCTTTTACATATCAACAGGATTAAGTCTATTCTTGACCTTTAGACAGGTCAATAACCTAGGTATTCTGTGATTGGAGAACTACATATTTTATATATAGGAATAAAATGAGAGACATTCAATTAAATGAGAAAGCTCTAGTAAATGTTCCCCAACTAAGAGCACAAAAAAAACTATGGATAATGTTTTGTGTTTTTTCGTATGTCGGATTAGGATCTTCTGAAGAAATGATGCAAATAAAATTGCTTCTTTCTTATGGTAACACAACAATTCTCGACAGAATGAGAACATATTTATATATTATAAAATGTATATACACATTTTTAAGACGGCTATGTTAGTAATAATAATTATAATAAAAAAAATATATATGTTGGATCCAGCTAAGTTATAGCCAAAAATCTAAAGAGAACAACCAATTACCATGAAACCACCAATTATATTGTTAGATTAAATCAAAAATATTTAAAGAAGGACTTATTTTTTTTTAATACTCTAATCTACAAACCAACAAGAACTGGTTCTATATTGTTTATATAAACTGTTGACACAGCTTTTGATGTCAATTTTAATTTTTCTCCTTGCAACGAATATTTTTCAAAAGAAAAGCTAAAAGGTAAGTTAAGGAATCTATTTCTTCTTAATTAAACCCTTTTTTTGCCGTTGTAACGAAGGGAGAGTCTTGCAAAATATTTTGCACTTTTTTCTCTAATGTTAGCCTTGGGTGCCAAATATGGATTCTTCCTTAAGGCTTTGCTTCAGAATAAGTTTGGAAATTCTAAACAAATTTAAACATCCAAAATTGCCTTTACATCTTGTCTACGACTTATCTAATTTTTCCTTATTAAAGAAGACGAACGACTGTATGTACATATAATGAACAATTTCATAGTCAGGTATGTCGTGTCTCGCAAACTTTAGTCACTAAAATGGTTTTATAATTACGGTACATCAATGATATTCCCATATTTGGTAGTGATGTAAGGATAAGTAAGATCCAGCCAAAAGCATAAAGAACACAAAATGACGATATCGTGCGAACATTTCCAATATAGCTATCCGCTAAGATAGCACCGAAAATTGGACAGAATTGACCAAAAAAATTGAAGATGTGCAGCATTATCGTTGAAAAACTTTCACTGAAGAAGAGATCATCTCGTAAGTACAAAGCCAATATTGCTGAAATCACAAAAAAAAAGAAATTATATTTTTAAATTGGAATATATTTTTAAAATCGTATCGTTTTTAAAAATGTGAAAAATAGATTAATTGGTTTTTGCTGTTGTTGATATACTCGTAAATATTTTATGTTTTCAAGAATATTTATGAAACATGGAATATTGCTGATAAAGTTAATTTAAGAACATGCTAAATGCATTTGATCGACGAAATTTTAAAAATTTAATAAATTATTGATAATTCATCTGATAGTCCATCGGACAACTTACTTCGCATTCCATTAGCTGCAAATGCTTCAAAAAATTTCGTTATTAGAATGAAAGCAACCGCAGCTGGGTATTTGATTTTTGACGATGAAATAATCGTATTAGTACCATAAGTTGATTGACCATCTCCGCGTTTTATATTTGTGCCTACATTTGATTCATTGGCATCGTCTGTTGTAGAGATTATCGTAACAGTTCCAAGAACAGGAAGTGCTAAAAAATATAAACACATTAAACACAAATCTCGAGATTTGATCATTTTATTTAAGTACATATTTTTTACAATTCGTATATCTTCTTAACTATGTGTAGAATAAATATTTATATATATAATATATATATATATATATGTATGTTTGTTTTAAATTTCTGCTATAAATCTGACTAATTTAGCACGATCTAAAATACATACATAAAACGATCCCGCATATGGTATAAGGGTGCTTATATAATTAAACGTGACATTATATATTGAGCATACAAGCCATACGTATATAATTCTTAACCACTGCAAAAATACTTCATTTTTAATATATGTTATGCTATATATGTATATGTATAAATTTAAGGCCAAATTATATACAATATAAACATTTACATAATTCAGTCTGGAAGAAGGGTACGCTTACAACAATATATATCTGGTAGACTGACTGCTAATAAGGTATTGGGCTTAGCAATGTTGATGTAAAAACTGGTTAAAGAGGTAACACTACTTCAAACTGTTCCAATGAATAAAAAGAAAATATGATTCAGCTGGTAAAAAATACCAAGTACACATTCATAAAATAGTACCGACAAAGTATATAATGACTTCCGAGTTGTACCGTAGAAGGGAACTACTATTGTATTGTTGTGCTCTAAACTATTTTGTGGAATAGGTAAATCAGTTAAAAAGTAAACATATTTTTAAAATAATACTAAAAGACCAATTAATTCTAAGAGTTCCATTTTTCGTTTAGAATTCGTCTATAATTCTATTACCACTTAAAATATCTGCTCATTTACTAACTGAGTATGATATCCAGGCGTGATATAGTGTCAAGCAATTTAATTCATACTCACAAGAGATGACGAAAGTGCTAGTGTTGAACTTGGTTTTAAGATTCACAATTTAAAGAGTTTTTCGAATAGCAAAGAAAGAAATAAAGAACAAACACAAAAATTTTATTTTAATTTTTATTCAAATTTTGCTGACTTGTATGGTCAGCCGCTGTTTCGAATATTGCCAAGTACTCTTCATCAGCGGTCTTAGGAAATAATCGAATTTTATTTAATTAGTTTATAGTCCGTATATAATTTGTTTGGACTGGAAGTGCCAGGCTTAGAACTTCAGCATTGAAAGTTTGTGCAGCCTTGGCTACTTGTGGATAAATACGATTAGTCATCGCTTCTAATTTGACAGGCACGAGTTCTAAGCCTAGTTCTAGCCTCGACATAATAATAATATTACTAGGTTATCCGTTCTTAGCACTACTATATTCTAAAGAAAGTTAAACTATACGTCAATCATTTTGTGCATACCGAATTTCAGTTAAATAAAATTTATTGTTCAGTTTATAAAGAATATATAAAATAAAGTTATCTGATTTTCATTGTTCTGACGAATATTTAGACTCTATTCCCGAGAAGTATATTGATAAAATTCGTTTATCTATCTCACATTACTGACGAAAATGGTTAGATTTAGAAATTATATATATTTTATAGGGTTACCGATATCTTTTTCGAAAGAGAAACAGATAATTTAATGATATAATTAGATGAACTTAACATAATGAATGTGTTTGATTGTATCTTTCTAATATTTTCCTCACATTTCTCATATCGAGAAAAACGTTAAGCTTTGGTTATGAAAGTTCGATCCACCAAAGACTGTAATTCTAAGAAAAAGGAAGATTACCAATATGTCACAAGTGAGTGTTTGAAAAATATATCTAGATATATACTATCAATTCAGGAACTAAATAAAATATTACAATATAATAAAGATATATAATTTTTGTTTTAAATAATTTATCTTTATGTTACCTCATAAGAGTCATCACAAAATTAAATTATGTATTGTGGAGGGATAAAAAGAAAAAACGTTTGTTTAGTATTTTTATAAACTAACACTGATAAGCTCCATATCAAGCATATCGCATTTATTCTGAAATGAGTTTTAATCTTTCAGATGTCAAAGATACTTCCTTCAAACGATAAAATTTGTTTTATCAGTATCAAATTTTCTATGTCGATTTGTTGTTACATGTAAATATTAGATTTTTTTTATCTAATATGTGATAAAATATTTCTGATTTATAATATTGTGTTTTTAGCTTGTAATTGTTTTCATTTAAAGGTTCTAATCTACAGCTTCAGCACTCAGACTTACTTTCTTCACTCGCGATTTGAGAGGCACGAAACATCTTACAGGATTTATTATATTTCAGTTATATTATATGCATATAGTTCACGCACTTCTCACTGCCATATATATCTATTTATGAATATATATTTATTTTCACAATAATTATTTACATTTTTTTGTATAGACAAGACCTTAAAAGGTAGCATGAATGTTGAGAAAATCAACATTTACCGCAAATTGCGGCTTTTTCACGTTCAATTGTCACAGTAGACAAGGTTCGCGGCTGTGCAACATTTTTTTTCAAGTACGTTTGCAGCAAAATAATTAAATAAAAACAAATTATATAAAATATGTGTCTCAAACTAAAATAATTTATTATATATAATAATAAAATATGTTGTCAGTTCTTCGGTAAATTAAAAACTTATCAGTAATCGTATTTTGTAATTAATTGCATTTCAGTCGTTAATTAATTTTTAAAATGAACTTTGTTATATTTTTTAAAAATATATGTTTTTCCGTTTTGAACTGAACCCATAAGCTTCACTCTTCAAACTGAATGCGATACGATTCTGCTATCAACTTTTTGCCTAACCGTGTAATGCACTCCATCTCGTGTAAAAATACTCGTGATCTTCGCATATGTTGTTTATCTGAATTCTCCGTCATACTGCACTTGCATACACCCGCATGTAGGTAAATTTTACTCTGATAGGGATTCAGTGGAGGCTAACTAAGTTTTTTTTTCTCACAATTTATACAAAATTCTTTCTCTACAATGAGATATTTATTAAAATGTATTGAATTTTCTATGAACAATCAAATTTTATCAAATATCTTTAATAGATATGTTATATGTTTAATAAAAGATTATGATATTATACAAGTAAAGAGGCGTTCAGAAGAAATTGGTTTTTGGGAAAGTACTTCTTTGACACTTTATCAGATTATACATCGATAAAAACGAAAGACCTATTAAATTATCTAAATTCGACAAGATGGATTTAGTCTATACCTTCTATCTTAGCGGTTCTAGCGAAGAATGTGGTAGCAAAACGGTAAAAAGTTGTAAATTGAGGTATATGGGAGTTATCTAATCTGTATCTGCCGCTACAACCAACCAACCGAAGTTGAAAGAAATTATTTAAGTTTTAACAAATAGTAAGAAAGTAGAATAATTTTCTACTAATTTTGTAATGATCAGTCTTAAAATAAGTTAAAAGTCTTTATTTCTCTGTCCCATTGATCTTCCTTTTCTTTTATGCGAACAGCGTGAAGAATAGGTGCTAGCATTGCACTCCAGACTTAAGAAACGAGCTGTTATTAAAAAATTGGTCCATATTTACACTAAAAGATAAATTAACTAGATCAAACCCAGCTCAGCAATCAGAGAAATAGAATTTTACGCAATTATGAAGTAAACATACATATGGCTTTAGGTAAAAAAGTTTCTGGGAACCAATTTTTATATATGAGTACATAAGCATAAAGACAGATTTTTAGTTTAAAATTCCAAAAAATATAAATAAGTAATTAAATTTTGAATTTTTTTTAATTTAATACTTTTAATTTTTACGAGATGTATAACGCTAACTCGGATTCAGTGATCGCTTGATTTCTCATTTACGGATCTATATACTTACATCATTTTAAAGTTGACACTGTCAGTTTCAGCTACCGACCTAGTAACTGATTGGGATGAAGCTGTGCGCTTAAAGCTTCATAGCATGAATCTTTGTTATTGATTCGTAGTCTACATCCCGTAATGTCAAAAGGATAAATTTACAATGTTAAGAATTATTTTTGGTTTCGGTTTTACAAACATTGACGGAGCTAATATGCATCTACTGAGTCACTCACAGTAACAAGGTCGCAATAATTAATTGTGATGCTATTTCAATTTTCTAATTGTTTTTAAAAATTATTAATTTCATGTACTACTTCTAAATATACTTATTTTTTTTTTTAAATTAGAATGTATAATACAAAAGTTATCCAGTTTGTGATTCAAGAACCAAACATAAATAAAATATAGTTTCGATCAAACTCTCAATTACATGTTTATTTCAATATATAGTAATATATATATATATATATATATATATATATATATATATATATATATATATATATATATATATATATATATATATATTATATATATATATATATATAATTCAAATATAGTCCAAGGACAAAGTATAAAAATAAATCCTTTTGAAATAATTTTCAATGACTTATAGCTATCATAATTCGACGAGCGTTTGTTTTCAAAGCTTCGATAGTTTACAGATTGTCCAACTCTACTTGTCCCACCCCCTAAAATATGTTAGACCATTTAATACTAGCTACATAGGTTGTTTTCAATATAGAAATGTTTTCATATGAACTTTAAAATAGTTTTCAAAAATCTCCAATGAATGTATAAATATCCCAATGTTTGAAACAGGTAAATTTGAATACAGTCATATTAAGTATTCTTCATAGAAATTATATAATTATAAAATTATTATAAATAATTGCATGCACACCAAAAATATTGCAACCATAAAGTACAAGCATCGATAATATCTGTTTAAATATAACTAATGAATAATTATACCTTCAATTAAGTAAATTAGCACAAATAAATTGTATATGGAATTAAAATAATTTATTTTATATATTAAGCAAAAGTCCTGGAAATTGGATGATTTTTCATAAAAGTATATTTTGTATTGAAAATGTTTCGTGATTGAAATGAGTTTTAGTATTATTGTTTATAAGCATTTTGCCAAATTTTTGGAATTCGAATAATGAATTTTATATTAAAAATTATGATGAAAAATACACACTTTAAATACGCGTTTTACTGTCAAAGTATTTAAACGATAAAGAGGAATTTAATTATTCTATACCAATTTTTTCGCTTCAAAGAAACTCTTCAAATGTCTCATCTGCCAGAAACCCATGCACACTAGAACAATAGTTTGAGCAAGTGACCACCAAAGTACACGCGAGTTGGTACTTTCACTTGTATGACGGAAACGTTCTTCACGATAACGTTGATAATTTTGTTCCTTTGTTATTTGGTCAACTTGATCGAGTAACTGACGTATACGCAGTTGAAGTTCAGTCAATTTTTCTTTTTGCGCAACGTTGGCATAATCGATTGCATGCTCTCCAACTTGAATATCAAGATGTACACGCAGCTGTGCACCACTGAACCAAGCTGTACTGTTTGAATACATGCAAATAACATGCTCGCCAGGTGTATGAGAAGTGAATGAAATGCGTCCTTCGGAGCTATACACGCGAGACAGAATGATTTTATCATCACTGTCACGGACTTCTACGTGCATACCGATACCTGGCGATGATGGCATAAATCCATTTGATCGTGGGTCATAAAGTTCCACTTTGTAATTAACTGTAAAAAATAATATATATTATATTTGAAAACATATATAAAATAACTAGTGATTTTATATTTACCAATTACAGTTGTCTCGTCTGGCACCTCTTCAATGAAGCATTTGCGTTCCGTTTCAGCAATGTGAAAATATAATCCAAACGTGCTACTTAACGAGCAGAATAGTATAACTGCATAAATTATATTTTTATACATTTTAGTAACTAAAAGATATAAATATTATTTATTAAATTTATGGAATTATAAAAACTAAACTTGCCGACACGTCATGAACAAATGAAGAAAAGACAGCAAATTACTTGAGTTTTGTTTTGAAAGACGAATCTAAGTACAGATATGTTAAATATATATTATTACGTATCTTTACAAATATATATATGTATATAAGTGATTTTTATTAAAAAGAGTATTATCTTATAAATAAATTTTAGTTTTTCTGATAATTCTGACAAGCTAAATTTAATATTAATCTTATATTTTGTTGGTATTTAAAAATAAAAAATTATCTGTAAAAATAATGTTTTAATGTGAAGTATAACAAGCCTGTTACTCAAAAATTTGACGAAACTTTTATAATTTGTTGACGTTTCAGTTTTATTGCACAAAACAAATACTGCAATTATTAAATTTTCTGTTTATCGAACAAATTCTTGAAAGCTTTGATTTACAAAAGGTTTAAAATGGATTTAATAACTTTATTAACTATTGCTATTACGCTTTTAGTTATAATGATTACAATATTCTTTATGCAAAGAAGAGGTGCTAATAAAAATGGTAATGAAACTTCACATTATTTTTTGCATATATAATTAATTGAATATTTATTATAGAAGAAAAACCAGCACGTCAACAACGAGCAGTTCCAGTCAATGCTCCAGAAGGTGGCTTAAGACGTGCACAAATTGCACGCAACCAACGTAACAGATTGCGTCAAAATACTCACCCAGTTGCAGCCGCAGCACAAGCATTGGATGATGCTGTTGAAGATCAGGAAGACGGTATACCACAAGGTGCAGTTTTAGATGAAAAGATGGGTACGAAAAAACGTGCTAAAATGGAAGCAAAAGAACAGAAACGTTTACAACGTGAACATGAGCTAAAACAACGTGAAGAACGTAAGGCAAAAGAGGAAAAGTTGGAAGTTGAACGCAAACGTACAGAAGAAGAAGAGGCTGAGAAGGAACGTAAACAAGTTGAAGCAGAACGTTTAGAACGAGAGGAGCGTGAACGTAAGGAATACGAGGAATATTTAAAAATGAAAGAAGCATTCAAAGTTGAAGAAGAAGGTTTTGAAGAACCTGACGACGGCGAAAAAGAGAATTTACTCGCAACGTTTGTGCAGTATATTAAGGATAACAAAGTAGTAATGCTTGATGATCTGGCCATAGAATTTAAATTAAAAACTCAACAAGCTATTGACCGTATACAGGAATTACAGGCAAATGGTACGATTACGGGCGTTATTGATGATCGCGGAAAATTCATTTATGTTTCCGAAGAAGAGCTATTGTCAGTGGCAAAATTTATTAAACAACGTGGTCGAGTTTCAATTCAGGAATTGGCTGAAAGCAGTAATAAATTAATTAACTTGACACCTGTAGCTAGTGCGTAAAAATTATTAGACAATTTTAATGTAAATAGAATTTTATTTTAAAATTCCATACATACATTAGTTATTTAGTATGTAATAAAAAATAAATCTGATGTCAAAGTCGTGGTATTTTCATAAAAAATATATAGATTTCGATGTAAGTGTTTTATGTTTATATTTTTACAGTGAATTTATTCCATCATATCGTCATCATTATCTAAATCCATACCATCGTCATCCTCCTCATCTTCGCTTGTTTCATTTGGATCCCCTGCTTGTTCTATACATTTCGGACATGAACAAACAAAAATATAGTTTTCTTTTAAATGCTGCAAAAAAATAAATTTCATAAATAATATGTATAATATATTTTCTGGGCTAACCTTTTGTCGTGAGTGTCTACTTCTATTCAACTGACATTCATCCAAGTAAGATATGCAAATCTCTTCACCAGGTTCAATAGGCTTAAGCGCTTCTAACACAACAATATCACTTGAATATGGAAAAGTCGATGCAGCATTTGGAATGCAGCTGTGATTTATTTTGCTTTGTATCAAGTAAAGCCCAGACCCTTCGTTGTTAAGAAATTCACCAGCGACTAAAAATATTGAAAAATAAAAATTTTTACTGAATGACATTGCAAATTTATCGTGATCATACATTCATCTACTGCGCTATATATTGAATTAATATGTTCTTCTAGAACTTCTTTTTGTTGGGTAGGCAGTGGTATAGCAGATGCCTTTTTTACCCAGTCTGCTAAGACACTTGTTGCTATACCTTGACTATTTGTAGCAACCAAGCCGAGCAAAGCTTTAAACGAATCTGGAGTGGTAAACTACAAACGAAAACAGATATTTCATGAAACATAGATATTAAATTAACATACTTCAGAAAATTCTTCACTTTTGAAAGCATTGCAAAATGACATGAACAATTGCTCCATTTGCTTCTCGTAACTCTCACCAAGCATTTTATGGTAAATATTTTCTGATCTGTTAATTATATCCGATTGAAATGATTTCAGTTGGTCCATAAACTCCTGTTTATTTTTACTTTGTGAATACATGGCCATTAAACGTACTAATAGCATAATACTACTCGTTTCTGGTGGGTAATGCATTTTTCTTTAAATTAAAAACAAATTAAACTGATATAAATATATATAAGCAAATTACGTTCTTACTTCCAGGTGTCATTAAGTATATTTATGGGATGTGAATCGTCATCTACGAATTTACCTAAACACATAAACCGATGATACTTATTATAGGCATCTATACGACAATCTTCACAGCAATAACGTGTTTTGCAAAACTTGCATTCAGTGAATTGGTTTATCCAATGTAGAGTTGGGTCTTGTTCCTGCATAGGAACATGTACTAAAGGATTGTTTGCAAGTCTGTGTACATTTTCAGTTATTGTTTCCAAAGGTCTCATACAGTGGTTACAAGCTGCATAGCCGTATGCAGCATTCCAAGAAAATTGCGAAGAAACAAAAGGCTCCTCCTCCAAAATAATATCTCCTTTTGCAAAACGTTTTGTGGATACCATTCCTCGGCCCTACAGTAACAGTTTTAATTATGTAGCATTATTTAGTTATAGATCAGTGATTAATTGATCTTACTTTTCCCGGTATATCTTTTATTTCAAACGGATTCATTGTAATTCTTTGTTATTAGTTTGTATTTTTTTTGTTTTGAATTTTGGCCATGTGCAGAGGAAAAGTCAGTGTTGCGAAACTATTAAATAACTGAAATATGTCAGAATAGTGCTGCAAAAATTAAAAAACATTTAATTTTTTTAATTGTTATTTTTTTATTTTCCACGATATAAATTTAGAATTTCATTTTTAATATTTCTAATTAGTAAATAACACCTATTTACTAAATCACTAAAAGTTTAATAAAATAATTAAATAACAAAAAAAAATATGAAAACATTTACATGGCTTTCTACTCGTAAAAAATGTTTCGTGATAGCTGGGATCTAAAATTTTGAAGAAAAGAACAGAAGGAAAAAAATGGTGAAGATCAGAAAGAATTTAGTCACAGTGATTTTCGACTAGTATTTTAGATTTAGTTTTGATTAGTAAACAGAAATAAAGTTTGTAAATAATATCCCTTCTTCTGTAATTCTGAACTATAAGACCATGAGTATTTTGTGTAGACTTATTTTATATTGATTTTCACAGATCATGATTGTTAATGTCTATAACAGAGACAATAGACAACTATTTATGCTATTATCTTATAATGTCTTATTTGATGTTTAGAAAAATTGGGCTACAACATGACTGCAGCCTATGTCGATAAGTGGATAGCTTCACTTCATCTAAACAGGTAGAGAGGGTAAGCTCATGATGCCAAAACCGATAGTCAGTGAAGCTATAAATAACACAAAAACTAGACTAAATCTTTATCGGCACCAACTCTCTAATAGATGTGGTATGAAATTACAAAAACAACTAACTTGTATGAAAATTGCATTTTATATTTTCGTTTTAAATATATTCGGCAGAAATTGCCAGTTTATCATAATTTTTATATTTATTACGCAGAAGTAACAGTTATTTGTGTGTTTTAATATAAAAAACAGAATGTAAGAGTTATTCCTGCGCGAAAAAAACAAAAGGCACATAAAATAATTATTTTGAGGGATATAAAGCAAATTTAATTATTATTTTTTGAGTTTTATTTTAAAATGCTAATATATAAAAAGCATGCATAATACTAAGGATAAAAGTTGTTATAATGATAACTATATACTTAAATATGAGTTTCAACAACTTTATGTTGGTGCTTTTTTTCATAAAAAATTTTGAAAGAACTGTTATGTTGATCAACAAAATTGTGTAAATATCTAAGGAAATAAGGTTTTATGATTATATAGATAAAGAAGATTTTCTGCTAAGTTTGATTAAAGATTATGATCGTAATGATACATTTAATGTGTCACCACCAGTATCGTACTGTTAAGTGAAAAATAAAGTTTGTTTGTTCGTTTTAGCGTTCCTGACGATATTGTTATAGAGAATTGAAATGAATAGAGTTCCTACTCCACGTTGCATATTATACTTTGATTTCCACCGCAATGGAGATAAGATCATTAAGGTAAAAGACATTTATGCTAAAATAGATGTTCTTTGAAATCACGTGACAACATTCATTCACCTTGATCCAGAATATATTCATAGTATATTCTTATTGTTACTTTAACCTTAAACAATATTAGTCTCCAAATCCTACCTTATTCTACAATGTTCCATTATCATTTAATTTACTTGCTTTTAAATTAGCATTAGGTGAGAGTCTGGCTATGTTTTAAAACTCCCGACACAAAGTTTTACACAAACCTTTTGCTTATAATACATCATATCTCATTGAGAAGTAATTAAAATGCAATATATTCATTTTTTAAATATATATAATTTTAATTTTTAAAATATTTGATTTGTATCTATTTAAATATAGCTTACGTAAATATCTTTAAATGATTTTTATTTTGTTTCTGTTTTCTGGTTTTTACATTAATAAGTTACTATAAAAAAGATATTATATAGCGATTTGCATTAATGCCTGATATAATATTATTTAACATAGAGTAAAGCATAATCTTTTTAATATATATTTTATACTTTAATAGTTATAAACTTTAAATGGAAAGTTGAAAATGTTTTCTTTTGTTTTCTTACAATTTTCCTTTTTCTCTCTCATCTAACTTCAGTTTTTGGTTAATAGTAATAAATTTGTAGTTTGGTTTTTGTTATTTTCATTTTGTATAAATAATTTATTAAAAACATATATATTACAATTTGTATTTTTGTTTGTGTTCCTACTTAATTTACAAATTTTAATTTATCATTCTTCACACTTTTATTGTTTCGTTATATTAAAACTATCCAGCAGATTAATTAAAAATTAGTTTAATAATTAACAAAATGGAGAAAATCGAAGCGCGCTTGCTAGTGGTGCAATAAGTTTTTTAATTAAATATAATTTCATAGCTTTTCTTTTTATTAATAAATCTGCTTTTTGTTTTTAATTTAAGAAAATATTTCAATAATAGGGATACATTTGTAGTTATGGCGTATTCTAAAAGGTTAAATTAATTTATTCACTGACAAGTCCAACTTCTCGTGCGGTCGCTGGTACACCCTGGCCTAACGTAGCCGCCGCTGACATAATGTCATTATCATCTGTCGCTGTAGAGCTGGCAGATTTTTTTAAATCATCACAATTACCACTGATGACGTCTGTGCCATCATCATCATATTCTTCTTCATCACGTTCATTTATAGCTGTTTCAGTAAAGGACACTTCGGCTTGACTATCACCATCGCCAGTATTTTGCATTGCACTATTATCTACATCCTGTTCATCGTCATTAATACTAACATCATTATCGTGATTATTATTCACTTTATCTTCACTTGTCGATTTATTATTGTCACTATCCCCGCCACTACATTCAGCATCTATTGTTGCTGCTGGAATCGGTACCTCTTCTTCGGGTATATCTTCAATGAGACTACGACTACCTGAATCTGCTGAGGGTGATTTATTTTCAGCTGTTAGTTCATCTTCGTCTGAAGATTTCCGGCTTAACAAAATCGGATCCGAAGCACGTAATGAGCTTTCGGATACACCCACACCTTCACCACTTGGTCGCAGCACTAAATATAATAATATATCGGATAGTGAAATAATGCCTATTACTTTTTGATTCTCATCGACAACAACTAGACGATGTACTTCTGCACGCACAATACGTTCCATTATTGTGTATAAGGACTCATCTAGATGGCACTTTTGTACTCCTTCAAACCATTCATTGCGATGTTCGTTGGCTTTGCGTAGTGAAACATCTAAATCGTTGTAGGTCTTCTCAGCTGCTAAATTCTGTAAAACATATAGAATTTAGTTCATCATTGTTTTTGATTATTTTATCTTAACTTACAATCACATCAAACTTTGCATAAATATCGACAAGTCTTCCCTCAGAGTCTACCAATGGTAAAGCAGAGACTCGCCTTTCAACAAATTTTTTTAGTGCAGTTATAATGCTGGTACTTTCGTCAGCGGTCTCAATGTTGTCATATGTGCCTATTTTTAGATCACGTAATGTCTTTTGCATATATGACGGCTTTGGTAATTCACTTATCTGAAAAAGTAAAAACTTTATGATTATCCCAGTACTACTTGCCTATAGCAGTAAATACTCGTAGTTGCTTGTAGAAGCTACAGCAGAGCCCCATTAAATTTTTAACGAACTCTAATTTAATTTGAGTTAATTTATTTAGTAACTTAATTAATTACGGTTGCACCAGTTTATGGGGGACTTGCATTTTAGCTTCGAAAACTAAGCTGATTTTAAAACTTACGTATAAAAAGAGGAACCTGAGTATACGTTTATGGGTTAATATATACAAAACATTTCCGGTAGCTGGATCAATCACTGGTAATCGATGTATGCGACTGTGTATGAGAATTTTAATAGCATCGTACAACGAGGAATCGGGTCCAATGCTAACCAAAGGCAATACTTGTTTGTGCAGTACATCTATAATTTAAAACAATAAGATTTTAGTTCAATATATTAATATTTCAAGATAAGTTAGACGTCCTCTCCGATAATAATTCTTAAATATGAATATATAATGTTATATGTCAATGACAAATTATTATAGGAGCAGTAGGAGTCTATCAAGAAAACTTTTCTATATTTATATAGAGTAAATTACAATTAATTTGAACTATACTTACTTCGCCATGTCTCCAATTTGTGCTCTTCCAACTGCTCCATTGATGAGTTTGGTGATTTGTAATACATTTGTAATATTTTGATGAAATCTGTTATGGTTAGCATTCCAACGAATTGTTGCTTTTGTGAGTCCCATAGTGGCGCAGCACGTACCCCGTTGTACACAAGCGCATAAAAAGCTTTTTTCACTAATAGTTGAGTGTCGAAGACCACCAATTTTGCTGATGTGGGTATTAGGTCATAACATTTGTGAAAGCGGAAAAATTTTACAAAAATTTGTGAATCATCATCTTCTGTAAATAAATTAAAGGAAAGATAAAGTAAATACATTTGTTTAGACGAAGAATTTGTAATAAATAATTTGGTCCAAAAAGTGAATGAATTTATTATAATTATGTGAAAAGTATGATACTGTTTTAAATACGGGAGTATATATCGGTACTTGTTCATCGATCTTGATGAGTGATTCCGGCACGTAGATTCAGCTGGTTTTGAATAATTTATTATTTTGTAGTTAAAAAGAGAAACTATTTGGGTTTAGATGGTAATGGATTTTTTTGATAATTTGGTGACATTTCAAACACTTGTTCTAGGAATATTAAACATAGCCTATAATGATATTATTAAATTATGCATAAATAGATTATAAAAATTCAAATATATCAAAAATCGATAAAAATGATTCTCGATGATATGTAATCCTTGAGAAATGAGAAAAAAAAGATATCTAAGAAAGGTTTCAAGAACAATCGGGTCTATGTTTCGGAGCCACTTGTCGAGTTCGACGATCGAGTATTGTTCAGCACATCCAGAAGGGACTAAATAATCAGATCCTTGCAGGCTACAACAACGACAACAATAGAATCTGAGAAAACTTGAGAAGCTTTCTTTATAAATTAAATGAGATTATAATTGTGTTTGCACAAAATTAAATAGAAATTATTTAATTTGTTACACTTAACGATTTTAAGACAGTTTATGGTACACAGCGATTTTAATAATGAAATATATTTTAAAAATAAAACTGCAACGACAATTTGCTGAGTGACGTAAATCAAAGAATATATGTATATAATAGTCTATACATCAATCGATAAAATAAAAAAAAATTATTATAAGCCCATTTTACACTTATGAATAATAGTCACAGAAGATAATTCTCACACTCTATAAAATAACACTAAATTGCATATTTTATAGTACAATAATGCGTACGAGTAGGCGAGAAGTGTTAAATCTGTCTGTTAGACACATAAGCATGACAATTGTACTGATATTGGTTTCATAGTTAAATGTAGTCTAAAGATTGGCGTACTCGACAGGGCAGTTTTTAAAAGTCTGGAAGTGATTGAAATTATAAAGCTCTGGATAGCACTTAAACTTTAAAAAAACTATTTGAATACAGTGACGATCAATAAAAGATAAGTTCAAGAAATTTAAAGCTAGAACTGATGCTTTTCTAATATCCTTAAACAGTGATTTTCATTATAAAAGTCATTAACTTCTCAAGGTAAGTGACTTTAAAATATGGAAATTCAAAACTTTGCTAAAACTAAACCCCCATTTATTCTAGAGGGCACTAAAAGACTAAGTGTTACAAAAAAGACAAATTAATTAAAGTTATTATTAGCACTTTAGGAAGGTATTACTAACAGAAGAGTTTTTTAACGTGATTACCTACTCAGAAGTCTCAACAGCACGGTGCTCTTAACAAATGTATAAGTATAATGCGTCAAAAACCGACCCATTGGAACTCCAAGGAATTCGAACGGTACCAATTGAAGCTGTACGTTGACATTACTAACAATTATCTTTTTATAGAAATAATCACTGTTATTCAGTAAATATTTTCTATTGAATCATTAATTCGATTTATATAAATAAGCATTCACTATTTAATATAGTATTGGTAGGAAGATACAGATAAAGAAATAGGATTTATTTTTTGATGTTGTATTAATAGATATATTTGACCTAGAAGATATCACATATAGTCTCAAGTATTTAGCGACACCAATCATTTAAAATTGGTTCAAGTTGTAGTCCTCTTGACGGATACGTCCATAAGGTGAATACATTCATCTTTACCACTACTTCACACTATTGTGAGGTTTACAATATTCTCTGTCTGACAAGATAAAACGGAAAAAATCGTCTCCTTTTAAAATTTTAAAAGAATGATGACCTCTTATTTATATATGTACGTACACCAAATTATAGTATTAGATTATATAAAAATGTGTCTAGTTTTTGACAAATCCGGGAATATCACAAAACGCGTTCTATAGTTTCTCTTATTCCACACATATTGCATATCCCACCTAGTCTTCAGCATTTAAATATTTATGAAAGTCACTTGATATCTTCGGCTTCGAAAGTCGTGCGTTTATGAACATATTTTGTGGGAACGTTACTTTCATATGTGCAACTTACAATTTTTTACTAATGACAGTAAAAAAAACGACTATGTAAATATAAAATTTAAATTTTTTGTTAAAAAAATAATTATAAGAATTCACAATTCAAATATATTTATAATTTTAATAAAATTAGAACTCAAAGTATTTAACAAATTTATTCAGGAGATACAGAAAGAAAGACTTTTCAGTATTTTAACGACTGTAAAATTTTACTAATGTTTCTCTTATTAGGAAATATATTATTTTTATATAGGAAAACAAATAAAAAGGAAATATAATATAAGAAAAAAATATATAGGAAATATATATAATTTATATATATAAAATATATATATAAATAATTTATCTATAATAAAAAAATAATATTTTAAATATAATTATAGTTATTTAAAAATAATTATTAATTAATTATTATTACTAATTATTAGTATAAAATGGTTGCAATGAGACAACAAATTAATCAATTTTTATTTCCTATTTATATTTTTCATTTTATTTAAAACTAAAAAAATACATTCATATTTCTTATCAAGTATATAAAAGACACTTCCATATACCTTTTATTCTAGGTCATGTATCGTCGATAGTTTAGATTATTAATAATAGAAAGTGAAACTGTATATAGAAAGAACGTTCAAAACTTATTTTACTACACCTTTTTTTAGTATATCGGCTAAGCAATGCTTCCATGCTTCGGACACTTGTTCAAATTCTTTGATGCTCTCTGCAGGATAATAGTAATCTTGGAAGAAAGAATATTTTGAGCCGCCACCGATAACCAAACGACCGGCATGATTCGAATAAAAATGAAGTTGTAACATGCGGATACCGAAAATATCGTCCCAACAGACGACGCCGAGAAAACTGAGTTAACGATGACAAGCTCGATAATGATTATACGCGGGTTCCGAGTTAAAGCAATATCGATTTCTATTTAGATTTCCGCACCGCATGCACAACCTTCTCAACTGAATTTAGCGCGCAAAGCATGAGTAAAAATTTTATTTCGCGGTGTTGAGAAGGGAAGAGACGACCCAACAGTTGAGTTCGGTTTTACAATTGTGGCTTAAATTAATTTTAATCTTCTTTTATTTTGAACTGAGTTCGTTCATATTCGTAGCACAAACATACTTCAAATATTTCGTGGACAGAGCGGCGTATCTGATATATACTCGAACATTTTTTTGATTCAAGGCATGCGACAATATTTGTTTATTAGTTGTAGCCACTTAATTAGCTCGTTAAATTTTTAATTGTTTTTATTTTCTTTTTTGGCATAAATAGCAAAATATATTAGAAACAAATTGATGAGTTTCTGAAGTATAAATAATAATTGAAGTATTGTTAATATATTATAGGGCCGTATGTAAGTGGTTGTATATTAATTTATATGAATAAAATTTTAAAGAAAAACCACTTTAATCAAGAATCAAAGAAACTATCAGTAAAAATTTTTGGTTTTTATTACAGCAAATACATTTGGTTGTTCGTCGCGTATAGATTGAAGTACTATAGATATAAGGAATAGCTTTATTTATATTTACAAGAGGCATATCATTAATTTTAAAAGCATTCAATTAATGGGAGAATTTTTCAAAAACTTGCCATTAATAAAATTAATTTAAACATATTTAATAATATAATAACAATAAACTAAATTATATTTTACTTTTTCGAAGGTTGAACACACTTCACTACAAATTTGTATTGTAATTTAAATATTTATAATTTAAATAAAATATTTATTTTTTCAATTTAAATACCAGCCACATTGCAGTTGAAAAATAATATATTAAGTTAATCAAAATTCACGTAACGTAGTGAAATATTTGAAAGACATACCATTTACATCTAGAGTTCTAAGATCGAAAAAACAGAAATTACTTTTATATAACCCTACCAAAAAACAAGTAAAAGAAATATGCTCTTTAACTGTAAAGAATGAACTTTTTATTATTTTTAGTTGCAAATTAGTTCAAAATTATCATCGAATCAATATAGGAATAGACATTTTCAATAAAGCTGGGTTAGGATTATATAGATCAACTATTAAACTAATAAATAATAATAAATAAATTATAACTAATATCAATTTATTAAGTTTTATATGTAAGTATCCAATAATGATGGGGTAGCTCTATTAAAAATTTAAAATATCATCAAAAACTCATATAATAGACTTGCAAAGTAAACCACTTTAGACAGTCTCTAGCAAAAATTAAATCGTTTAAATGCAGATTGCTATACTCAAAGCCTGAGTTTAGATCTCTGGTCAGTTAAGTTAACTAATTCATACAGTTTTTGACATTACCCAAGACGATGCTGTCTTATAGCTCATACTTATTGTTGATCTTAATAAGATATTCAAATATTAATAAGATATTCCTAATATAATATCCTCCTTCACAAATGAATCTAAAAGAGTTTGAATAACAAAATAACTAAACTTAAATGACTTTTTAGCATCCAATGGTATTAGCAGCTAAGTAGATAAGGAGAGTGTCTTGATTGGCTATATACACTAATCAAAGAACTATGAGTGAATGATTGAATAATTTATATAATTGAAGAAATATTCCACTTTTACAATTTTATCGAGTTAGAATTGAAACAGAGCGTTTAGACGATTGTTAATTTATAACTAGTTTACCGAATTCCGAGTTTTCGAATACCTAGTTGATACAAGCGGATAACATTTTCAAGTTATACTACCATATATTCATATGACAGTTTTGTTTGTGTCAAAGTTTTGTTTAGATGTCGAACACTTTTTTTTTGCAATAAAAGCAACAACAATTGACAGCTAAAATTACAAATATGATAGCCAAAATTACAAACAATACTCTCGTGTGAATTTGCTATTACTTTCTATA